GTGTTGTGGTTTTTATAATTCAGAGATGAAGCTAAAGAAGTTTAATGCCTAATCATGTGTTAATGATTACTGAAGGACTGTGCTCTAAAATTAATCAGAGAGCACTGAAAAATTCCAGAACATTTTGACTGGCTGCACTGTTCAGTGTCTTGTGCTAGGATGGGGTGGGCTGGGGGGGTAAAAAGGGTGGGATACCAAGATGAAGATGAGCTAGTCCCTACCTCCAAGGAGCACCCTAAATTACTAGAGTCCAAGATTGGGTATGGTAAGTTTGACAACTGTCTTCTTACTATCTGTCGATATTAAAAATTTAGCATTTAAGTGCTTTGATATTTCATTAAAGTAGTGAATGGTTTTCTGTGTGGTTCTGTAACTTCGGGCATTTGCTTTTGGATTTAAAAACCATGAGTTTGAAGACAGTCATTAAAGTAGTAGATTAATTTTGTTATTGGATAGGCAATGATACTTAGGTTCTAGCGATATACAAATAGAGGGTGGAACAAAAGTAAATTTACAGTTGTTTGTATGGAAAATAATACAATAAATAATAAACAAGAATAAACACTGTTTTGTGTACTCACAGCTGTAAACCTACATTTGCCTACCTTGTATAAGACTGCTCAAGTTTGTATAAGAGCATTTGGCTTCTTTGTTATCATTCTGGAGGTTAAATGAAATAGCTTATTTTTTTAAGCTAGTTACATTTATAATGGGTAGTTTTATAAATTATGCTTTAATTTTTCAGTAAAATATGTAGTCATTTGTGGTAATAAAAATATTCATTTACTTGCTATTTTTTAGTAGCTGTTTTTATTATTTTCTGTATCTTGGCAAATCAACAAAATTTAGGGTATTTTTCACTCAGCTTGAATGTGTACTGTATTGTACTATGTTTGAAATGAATGAGCCTCTTTGCTCCCATAATAGAAACTATTTTGTAGAATCAGGTGGAGAAGAAACTAGTATGTTCTTTGTGTCAGGTATTGGGATAATTTATAGATTCTGTCTTGGTTTGTTTGGTCTCTAACACTTCTTATCCACAAAATCCTAGCAACATTTTAAGTATCCCTGGGCAACTACTATAGAAGCAAAACTCTTTTGATCACACTTTAAATATCCTAAATTGATTCCTATGTCTGTGGCTTGGTTCGGAAAATAGGGGATTTGGTTTGCTTCCAAAGGCTAAATTCCTGAATTAATCCTTTATTTTCTGCTTACATAGTTGCTAAGGTCGAGTTTCTTTCCAAGTTCTGCTTTTCTTACCATGTTTATTTGTTGGGGGTTGGGGGTGGGGAGGGTGAGGAGGCAATGTATGTGTATTTTATTGCCCAGCAACCTACAAGTATAAGGATAGGGTAGGGTCTTTAAAGAGAAACTCAAACCAAAAATATTTCACTGGAAAAAATAAAGTAAGTTAAAGCCGTAGCCACCTGGAACAAGATTAATGCTTGTGTTTACAACAATTTTTTGTTCAGCCTTATTTGGTCATTTGTATAATAAGGCCTCTCTCTAGAATATAAGCATCATAGGAGGAATTCTCTTGTCTCTTTTGTTCTCTGACATGCTCTAATCTGCACTTGACACAGTACAGATGTCTAACAATGATTTGTTGATTAATTCAACCAACACACAAGTGAATGAATGTATGAATGACACGTATCACTGGCATTCTCTGCTTTTCTACTTTATTATATTTACTTTCCTGAACTTTTTGGTTGATTCTATTAAACAGTGAGGGAAGAACTGTGTAGTTTCTAAAAGATTCTATTTCTTGATTTTTAAAATGCAATGTTGAAAACTTTTTCCTCCCTGTAGGAATTTATCTCAAATTATGAAGTTATTTATATTTCTGTAGTAGAGTGACACCTATATATCTTTACTGCTTGTGGTTCTTTTTTAGAAAAATCAACTTAATACATTTGAAAAATAAGGTCATGTTTTTTTAGTTTCATAGAATATACATTTAGAGAAGTTTTGCTCAGATGTATTTGAAGAGTATATGACACAAGGTTTCTTTCCCTCTACTAGTTTGTGTAATGTCTAAGGATAGTTTGGGGTTATTAATGAAAAGATTTATATAATTTAGCTTAACTAGTGTTAAAGAAATTTTAAAATGCGTTAGTTTTTAAACAGTGCTTTTCCTCAAAATAAGCATTATGAGAAATAGAATAACTTACATGCAAGTCAGAATTCTCCATTTTAATAATAAACACAACATTTTTAAAAGTAGTTCTTCTAGAACAGTGGTCCTCAAATTTTTGGTTTCAGGAACCCTTTACACTCTTAAAAATTATTGAAGGCTTCAAAGAGCTTTTGCTTATGTAGGTTATATCTATCTATATTTATTGTGTTAGGAATTAAAATGGATAGAATTTTAAAATATTCCTAAATTTATTTAAAAATAGCAATTGACCATCACATGTTAGCCTAGGTTCCTATCCAAAATATCAATATGAACAAACAAATAATGCCATTCCCAGGTGGTTTGTTCCCATTTTTTCTGTTGAAGATCTGAACACACACCTCCAGTCTTTCACTCCATCGTATATCTTGGCTTTTGATTCTCCACCAAAAGGCGCTGGCACAGGTATGGGTACTCAGCCACATTTATCATTTTTCTCTGCTAATTCAAGTAGGTCTGGGAATGGAAAAAGCAGAGTCCCAGTTAATGCTTAAATTGTTCTTCGACACTGTAGCTGTCAGATTAGGAATTCTTGCTAACCCCTGCCCCATTATATTTGGCACCAAAGTATCTGTTCTTATCTCTTCTGTTTTCTCACAAATTGAAAGAATGAGAACAATTCATAAATCCTTTCCTTCAGTTGTTTTCTTTCTAATAAATGGCTCAAAATGCATTCAGGTAGGATTTTTAAAATTTGTAATCAGACTCCTTGTGTTCAAGGTGATAGAAATAACCAAAAGCTTTAAACTTACAAAGAAATTAGAATAATTGGCTCAGATCAAAGTGTAATTTTCTTTATGAAAGAGCAAATATTAATCTAATAGTTTTCCAGTGATGTATCAAAAATAGAGGGCTCAATAAGTAAATAAAATACCAACCTGTCTATTGAAAAAGTGAAATAACTAGAGTAAAAACATTATATTTCATTTTCAGCCTATATCTGAAAATTAACTACACTGAGTTCTTTGATGTCTTTCAAAATTGTTCTCCCATAGAAAGTTCTTCATGTTTTTTTCATATGTACAAGTAATATCCACTTATTGCATTAAAAAATTAGAAAAAGATTAAGAAGCAATTAAAAATTATCTATAATCCTTCCACCTTTGGATAGCTATAGTTCAATTCAAACATTCTAAAATATATTTTGATTATATTATAACATCATTATATTCTATATATTTTTTATAGCCTGATTTTTCAGTTGACAGAACATTATGTGTATTTTTACATATCAGTTGACATGGATCCATATTGTCATCTTTAATCACTCCATGCTATTTTCTTATGTTTGTATTATTCTCATGTATATATCTATATATATATATAGATATAGATATATAGATATATGATATTTTCTACTACAACAAATAATGCTTTAGTAAACATATCTGTTCTTACATATTTGCATAAGTATCTGATTATTTCCTAATGGTGAAAATTTATCTGTGGGATTGCTGGGTAAATGAGGCATCTACTTTTTTCCCCAAAAAAGTTTTTAATAAAATTGCAAAATTCCCCTTTAGATAGATCATACGCAATTTATGTTCCCTTTCCTCCAACCCTAATCCATTCTCTAATCTAATGGTTTAAAAAATCATTATTATTTTGGTTTTCATTTCTTTGAATACTTCTGAGGCTGAGGTGAACATCTTTTCAAATGTTCTGTGTGAGTTCCCTGTTCATGTGCTTTGCCTATTTTTCTGTTGGAATGTTATCCAACTGATCAATGAATATTCAGATCAATGAAGACTCTTTTTAATCTTTGTAAAGGACATCTACTGTTTATTATATTTAATGAGTTGTTTTCTGTGCACTTAAGGATTATTATAAGACTAGAGGCCCAGTGCACAAAATTCATGCACGGGGGAGGAGGGGTCCACTCAACCTAGCCTGCACCCTCTCCATTCCGGGATCCCTCTCATAATCCGGGAGCACTGGCTCCTAACTGCTCACCTGCCTGCCTGCCTGATCACCCCTAACTGTCTCCCTCTGTGGGTTTGGTCGCCCCACACAGCCTGCTGCTCAGTCGTTTGGTCGCCCCTCACCAACCCCCCTGCCGGCCTAGTCACCCCACACAGCCTGTTCGGTCATTCGTTCAGTTGCGATGGACACTTAGGTTTTTATAAATATATAGATACTATAATATAATAATTATAATATTATAATATAATTATCTCATAGGGATTATAAGAAACTCTAAAGACTAAATGGCATTAAAGCTCTGGACTTTTTGACTTAAAATTTTCTTTTTGTATAGTGCCATTGGAGAGGTAAGCAGATATTCTTATGTAAGGCTAATTGTGTATGTAGTAAATGTACCGATCTTTTAAAAAAATTGTGTGGCCCCTTGACTCCTTCTTTAAGATTGAATCCAACATTGCAGGACCAACCAGTTCAGCAGATAAGAAGGGACAACAGGCCCTAACCGGTTTGGCTCAGTGGATAGAGCGTCAGCCTGCGGACTGAAGGGTCTCAGGTTCGATTCCGGTCAAGGGCATGTTCCTTGGTTGCAGGCACATCCCCAGTAGGGGGTGTGCAGGAGGCAGCTGATCAATGTTTCTCTCTCATCGATGTTTCTACCTCTCTATCCCTTTCCCTTCCTCTCTGTAAAAAATCAATAAAATATATATTTTTTAAAAAGGGACAACAGAATCCTGGCTGAGATTTTTCTGACTGTTGCTACTGCCCTTGTTCTCCTCAGAACCCCGCAGTTTCTAACACAGCTCACTCTCTTTACTGTGATCTGTGATCTCACCCCCATGCCCGTCCACACGAGAAATGGCTTATCTAACCCTGGGTTGTATTTCCCTTTATTCAGAGTTCCCACGTACTGGAGAGGACTGCGTCCTCCGGCACCGAGCCCTCCATCAGTCGGCAGTTGCTGGAACCGGAGCCAGTCCCCATCTCCAAGGTCAGTGATGGACTGTGGTGCTCTCTCAGATGGCCTGCTGCCTGCCCTGGGCCAGCTGCACTGTACATAACTCACACCCGACTCCCCTGGGGCAGCTGAGGCGCCCCCTGCAGGGCTGCTCTTGCACTTCTTTCTGCATGCAGTGTGTAGGGTTTCTTTGCCGGCGTGAGGAGGGAAGACACGAAAGTATATTTTGCTGGGATTTTCAGGATTACATATAGAAGTCCAGCATTCTCTATGTTTTGGGAAAAGGACAAGAGAAACTATTGTTATTCCCCATTGGAGAGATGAGAAAAGATTTCTGGACCAAACTAATAGAAAAAAAAATAACTGGGTCCAGTAATAATCTACCATATTGCCCATGTACTGCACACCAGGAAATGTACTAAATGCTGAAATATATTATCCCACTTAATAGAACCCTATGAACAGCCTTATACAGTGTAGGTGTTTATTACATTTTTTAAATATGGAAACTGAGAATTTGTCACTTGCTCAAAGACGAAAAAAAAAAAAAAAAAGCTGCTAAGGGCAGAGCAGGGATTCAGACTGAGCCTTCGTTAAGGCTACTAGTGGTAAACTCGTAGCCACCCAGCAGGGCTGTTGTACATTCTGAGTCCCTGGCTCCTCCTTACATCTGGCCTTCCTAGCAGTGCGCTGAGGAGAACCTGCAGATTTTTAAGACCTTTTCTGTCTCATGGAAGCCAGTGTTCCCACCCCTTCAGCCTTCTCTTCCTATGACTAGCTAAATCTCTGAATTCATTTTTGTCTAAAATGCAAAAATCATAAAGTCGAGGAGACGTCATCCTACTCATCCGCAGCCCACCCGGCTCCCTGAGATTTTCAGTGGGCTGGCTCCCCTGTCAAGAAACCCAGAAAACAGGATGCCTGGGGCTTTTGAAATCAAATATAAAAATAGCACTTGACTTCCAAAGCATTTCAACTTCCAAATATATATAACTGATCCATCCACTTCCCTTGTCCTTTATTAAATAGAATCCTTGAAGAAAGAACATTCTACTACCCTAGTGTTGTGGACTGTGTACACTGTATCTCGTTATATTTTGAAGCTATTACAAGCTGAGACATTTATCCAACCAGACAGAAGTAGATTGCTAAACTAAGGAAAAGGGGAGTTATTAAACCACAAAAAAATTTAAAATGATATGATTTCTATTGGAATAGCAAATAGAGAATGTTTACTTGGTAAATACAAGTAGTAATCTCTCTGAAACATCAGTGTTTTCTTATAGGCAGCTAAAGGAGAGAGAACAGATAAATAAGTAAATGCAGAGGCAACGGGAAGGGCGGCTAACATTTATTAAGCACCCACCTTGAGCCAGGCCCTGGATTAGTACATATATTTCCTCCCTTGGTCAGCCCTCAACTCCACAAAGTGAGTACTGGTAACATTCTCATTTATGGAGACAGGGAGTAGTTGTCCAGCGTCAGATAGCTGGGAAGTATGTGGCAGAGCAGAGAGGAACAGAGACATGGTAATGAGAGATCCTCAGAGAAAGGAAGACTTGGAGACATATACAGAAACAGGAAGGAGCGGTGCTGGTGTTAAAACAACTAGGGAGCAGCAGGCACACAAGACGTTCTCCGGCCCTGCCCCTCCCACCAGCTGTATCTGTAGCCTCTTTGGCATCTCACGTTATAGTCCAGCTACCTCCACCTGCACACAGTTCCCCACAGTAGCCATGCTCTCTCCTCCCCAGCTGGGGGGTCTACCCCTTGTACCCAGCCTGCCTGGGGTGCTCCCTGCTCCCCTCCCCTTCCTTGACCTGGTTAAAGAAACTCTGAAAACAGAATGCTTTTTTCAAATGCTGATCACCTTTCTACCCAATCCACCCTCAGCCCCAGACCACTTGGTGTAGCCAGTCCCATCACTACCACATTCATTTCATTATTTCACATTCTTTCTTAAGTCAGGTTCCCTAGAGGGACATCCTGACACTGGGTGCTTGTAATTTGCTGGGGAGAGCCCTCTGGGGAGAGGGGTGAGGGAGGGTCAGGGCAGGTCTGGAGCTAAGCAAGAAGGGCTTTGAGCTGGAGTCCAGAGCTCCAGGCCATGAATTGGAGCACAGTGTTGGTTTCACCCTGAGGCAAGGAGGATTTTTTGTTCCCTCAGCCCTTTGTACCTTGGTTCCTTCAGTCCTTGAGAGCCAAGGGGGGAGAGATGCTGCAGCATAATTTCCGAGGCCCCAGTTTGATGAAAACAGCTCTTCCCCCTTAGCCTTAGCAGTTCGCAGTGCTCACAGCAGCTGGGGCCTGGGTCCACCGGCCTCATTCAGGATCTGGGCTGGGCACCAGCAGCATCCACTTCCCATTACTCCTCCATGCTATTGTCCGCTTGGCTCTTGCTGTCGGATTAATACTCGTGTTTTTGTGTTAATAGATACCATATCTTTGGGGGCCCCATGAAATTAGAGGGTCCAGATAGAATCTCTCAGCCCCTTTGAGAGAAGATGGGCTTCCTGGGCTCTGGTGGTGGTGGAAGAACATTGTTTGAAGTGCACATTGTCCTGTCTCAGGATGTGTTCAAATTCTTTGGTACTTTCGCCTCCTAAAGCATTCTCTCACCCACCCACCCACACATGCATGCACAAAGAGTATGCCCTTAAGAAAAGAAATGTCTCTGATTGTTTTTTTGGGGTTTTTTTCCCCCCCAAATGAACAGACTAGGGCTGTTATTAGGTTACTTCCTGTGTTTAGTTATTATTATTAGATAAAAAATATTACTAAAACCTCTATAATAGCAAAAATGTTTATGTATCTAACTAGAGTCCAGTACTGACATGATCACATTAGGGCTTTGGGCTCTGTTCCTATTATAAGGAAACCTATGAAAATTGAAGACTTTTAATATCAATTGAAATTATGAAAAAAAAATGTCTTCAATTTTCAAAGAGTAATTTTAGCTTTCTTAAGATCGACCTAGTCTACTAAGCAGAGATGGGTGGCACTAAATACTGAGCTGGGATGTTTCATTTATTACACACCTTGTTTATATCATTATCATCAGCATTTCTAATTAAATAGGGAGGATGTTGTTCGCGCTGGCTTTATCTTTGCCTCTCTGTCAGACTGACAGTTTATTTAACTGTAGGAACTACACTAGGATTCTTCTCAATTACTTTTGCTGGGTTTAGTTATCCTGCATCAGAGTGAATGGAATTATTTGTTCAGAGATGCCTCATTTATAATGAAGAAATGCATTTTAACTTTTCATCTGTTCTTTCTTACCCCTTTTTGTTTCCTCTCCAGTTAAACTCCCAAAGAAGAAAAAAAATGAGTGTGTTAGAAATCAATAGTCATAGCCCCATAGGGACAAGCTATTATTTCATTCTGGGTTTCATTAGGACAAAAATTAAAAACATCTATACTTAATAAATGTTTCCATTTTCACGAGTAATTTGGAGTGTTCATCATACACACCCACACACACTCACGGAATAAATCAAAGATGAACACTAGCCTTAAAATAAGGTAAGATCTAGCCAATAATAGCAGTGCTATTCTTTTAGAGATTCTATCCATGCATGGCGCTACCAAAAATAAAAATGTCATTAAGCACAGTTGATATCGCTCTAAGAACAGAAAGAGTGCTAATGGATATATTCGTTTCGTGAGTATACCAAACTTTAAAAAAGAAATCAGTAGAAATCCATCATTTTATGAAATCAAAATCCATCATTTTTATCTACTTTTTTAGTAAGAATAGAAAGCCAAAAATACTGTACTTTGTATAAGAACCTACTTTCTTCTTCTGTTATTCTAACACTAGAGGCCCGATGCATGAAATTCGTGCAAGGGGCTCGGCCCTCGCAGCCCTGGCTTCGTCCTGAAAGTTGTCCAGAAGGACGTCCAGTCTAATTAGCATATTATGCTTTTATTATTATAGATTACTCATAAACTGTATTCTCCTGTTGAATTGTAGTTCACTATTAAAAAATGAGAATGCAAAGGACCCCCCTTTTTTTTCTGGATGACAAGAAACATCATATACAGCCTGAAATTCTCATTTGCAACCTTTTTAAAATTACTTTGTCTAATTAACAACTTTGACCAGATCTATCCCAGTTTCTGACAGTATTATCTTCAAGTAGAAAATCTCTTTTGGGGGTTTCTTACAGGTCTTTTTTCTTAAAAAACAAACACATTTTAGTGATGCATAATTTTACAGATCCTTTAAAGGGTCCTTAATGTTGCCAAATAAAAACTGGTGGGTGTGCTTCTGTAAGGTCTGTAGTTCATTCACTAGACACCCCTCAGATGACAAAGAAGATGAAAACTGACATTAGTTTTCCTGGGGTTTTGTTGGAGTGTGTGTGTTGTAGGGTTGGGCTTGGAGAGGATAGAAGCATGATGCTGGTTTTAGAGGGCTTTTCAGAAGTCAGGAATATCGCCTAGCCTTCATGATGTTAGAATGAAGCAATGTTCAGTGACATGTCCTGGAAACATCACTTTCTGTGAAAAGTCCACCCTATTCACATATATTTGGATTTGAACATAGATTTGATGTGGCCATAGAGCAAGCAGTTTCTGGGATGAAAGGAGAACAAAGGAAAAAGAGACATGTATAGTAAACAGGCAGCCCTTTCCCTTCCTGTCCCCATGGCCGATATTAGTAACTGATTGTGGCACCGTAGCCTGTGGGCCTTGTCAGTGCCTCACAGTCCTTTGCCGGGTCTGGGCAGCCACCACCCAGATATTTGTGCCAGTAAGTTTATGTGCCCTGGATTGGGGCCATTGGCTATTCCTGTTGAAGCCTTTGTTCTGGGATCTGCGGAAGACTCCTGATGAAATGTATCTTTTCAGAAGGCACCCTCCGGAGTCATTCTGGGATGGGGCGCTCTGAGAGGGGTTGCCCTGATACCTGGAGCTGCATCCAGCTTTGTGACGCTGGGGTTTTTTGCTTCCCTGCACTGTGGGCAGGACTGTAGCAGTTGTGCATGGGATGTGACCTTGTAGTTCCTGCCCCTAAATTATACCACATTTGAATTTATTGATAGCCATTCTGACAGGTGTGAGATAATATCTCATTGTGAGGATGTGGAGAAAGGGGAACCCTCATGCACTGTTGGTGGAATTGCAGACTGGTGCAACCACTATGGAAAACAGTATGGAGGGCTCTCAAAAAATTAAAACTGGAACTACCTTATGACCCAGTGATTCCACTTCTGGTATATATCTGAAGAAACCCAAAACACTAATTCAAAAGAATATACCCACCCCTATGTTCATTGCAGTGTTATTGACAATAGCCAAGATATGGAAGCAACCCAAGTCAATAGACAAGCGGATAACAGTGGTGGTACATATATACTTAGCCATAAGAAGGGATAAAATCTTCCCATTTGTGACATCATGGATGAACCTAGAAGATATTACACTAAATAAACAAGTCAGACAGAAAAAGACATATACCATATGATTTCACTTATATGTGGAATCTAAAGAACAAAATAAATGACCAAGCAAAATTGAAACAGACTCATGGACAAAGAGAACAGACTGATGGTTGCCAGAGGGGCTGGGGGTTGGGCGGCTGAGTGAAAAAGGTAAAAGGATTAAGAGGTACAAATTGGCAGTTACAAAATAGTCGCTTGGATGTAAAGTACAGCAGAGAGAATATAGTCAATAAGTTGTAATAACTGCAATGGTGCCAGGTGGGTATGGGAAATATTGGGGGAACATTTTGTAAAGTATATGATTGTCTAACCACTATGCTGTACACCTGAAACTGATCCAAAATAATATTGAATGTCAAAAAAAGGAAAAATATTTTTTTGGAAATGTGCTACACATGATTACTTTGATGCTATAATTTTATCAAGATTATCAAATAAACAAGAACTATTTTTTATTTACAAAATACAAGTAAAATTGCAGAATGTTTGCTGGAAAAAAAATCATGCCACATGCATGAGATCTTGAATATGAGCGTTTGCCAGGCCAGCAGGTACTTTAGTGCTGGGCCCTCAGAAATCCCCTGGTCCGACCCGTCCAGTGTCGCTCAGTGGTTAAGTGTCAGCCTATGAACCAGGAAGTCATGGTTCGATTCCCGATCAGGTCATAAGCCCGGGCTCGATCCCCAGTAGGGAAGGTGCAGGAAGCAGCTGTTCAATGATTCTCTCTCATCATTGATGTTTCTATCTCTCCCTCTCCTTTCCTCTCTGAAATCAATTTTTAAAAAATTTGTTTTTAAGAAATCACCCGGTCCAGAGATTTTAAAACCCAGGATGTTGCTAAGGGCCAGTCGGCAGCCATGGAAGCAGGCCCCCAGGGCGGTGTGGGGGGAACTGGGACAGCCTAAGAATGGGCATCCTTCTCTCAGGCCATGCGCACTGTTGCCAGATCTTACAGGCTTTCACAAAACACCAGAAATTTGGACTTTTGAAATCTGAAATCTTCTGATTTTTAAGTGTTGACAACTCATTAAAAATTATAAAAACCATAGATGAACAAAATATGTCTTATGGCAGAGGAAACTGTGATTTAGTTCCTTTTCACCAGAGGAGGACGCTTGTGTGGACTTGAGTATCCCAGTGTGGTGCTTTTTCCAAGCACGCTCAATGGTGTGTGTGTCTCAGGTTGCGTGCCTTCGAAAAGCATGGACCTCTTGGTGTGTTTGGCGAGCAGGGAGGTTTTATGTGCACACGGCTTCACTGAGGAGAAACAGGTCCCCACAGCGCTGCTCTTCAGCTTAAGGTCATGAGCCACTTAGACCCGTGCAGCCTTTCCATTTCTGCACAAAGAGCTAGGTCCACGCACTAATTGAACATTTGCCATCAAAACAGTCTTATTTCAAAAGGTTAAAGTGCCTCTGTGCCCACAGATGCACTGTCTGGAAAAATGCATTTTAAACCTTCTGAGTACATGCCCTAGCCCCATGGTTGGCAAACTGCGGCTCGCAACCCACATGTGGCTCTTTGACCCCTTGAGTGTGGCTCTTCCTAAGCCTTGGGAGTACCCTAATTAAGTTAATAACAATGTACCTACCTATATAGTTTAAGTTTAAAAAATTTGGCTCTCAAAAGGAATTTCAATCGTTGTACTGTTGATATTTGGCTCTGTTGACTAATGAGTTTGCAGACCACTGCCGTAGCCAATTTGGCTCAGTGGAAAGAGCGTGGGCCTGCAGACTAAAGGGTCCCGGGGTCAGTTCCGGTCAAGGGCATGTACCTTGGTTGCAGGCTCAATCCTAGGCCCTGGTCTGGGCACGTGCAAAGGCAACCATCGATGTTTTTTTCCTCTCTCTCTTTCTCTCTCTCTCTCTCTCTCTCTCTCTCTCTCTCTCTCTCTCTCCCCCTCTCCCCCCCACTTCCACTCTCTCCAAAAATCAATGAAAAAATATCATCAGGTGAGGATTAACAAAAAACAAAACAAAACAAAAAAACCTTCTGTACAGGCCATTGAAATTTCATACTACCCCAACCTCCAACTCCATCTTGTGTCTGATGGACCCAGACTTGCAAGTCTACCTAGAAGCTCATTTTAACTTCAGCTCTAAATGCTTAGCTGGATCTGATGTTGGAATTTGCTCCAGAATGTTGCTCATACTTCCAGTGGGTCCGACACTGCTTCAAAAGCAACTTCTACTTAGAATCTGTTGTAAGTGTGTCATCAAGCACCAAGAAACCTGTGATTTGCCTTTCTCCTTTTCTCTCAGGAAGCTGACAGCTGGGAAATTATAGAAGGGCTGAAAATAGGCCAAACCAATGTCCAGAGACCAGACAAACATGAAGGCTTTATGCTGAAGAAAAGAAAATGGCCTTTAAAAGGCTGGCACAAGGTAACATTTTCATCATGTTCATCTTCAGCTCATCTTTGTAAATAGAGGATCTGATTTGGTGTTATTAGGTGGGAAGCCAAGAGTATGGCTGTATGTGAAAACTAATTCTCTAGGCCTTGTTTCAGCCATTTGGGCTGCATGCAACCTGTTGTACCTGTTTAAGTCTGAGATCTGTAATATCTGTCTGCAGGGGGAAAATTATTTTTAAAATATTTTAAAATAACTTATTTTTATATTTTAAATTCAGTTTGTACATATTATTATCTACTCTGGGGTTTTTTTCCACTTAAATTAATATGTTCTTATTAAATATTCTTCTAAATGGAAGGTTTTAAAAAAATTCATGCGTATATTCCACTGGGTGAACTTATTGAACCAATTTTCCACGATTATGGAACCAATTCCCTTTTGCTGGATATGTACGCTATTTATGTCTAATTTTTTAGACATGATAAAGGGACATGTCATGATGTTGTGATAACCATCCAATGAATTTCTGTTTACTTCATTGGGGTAACTACCTAGAATATTGTTACCAGTGCAAATTAAAGGTGGAAATTCACTGACCAGGGAAGTTTGGTTATTACTCTTTAAACTATATGGTTTATTCTTCTCTTCCCAACCCCACATGCTTTTTCCATCCTCCAGTTTTAATTACAGAGAAAATATTTCGCACTTCATTGTTGCAGTGACCTAGTAACAAGACTTGTGTGATGCTGAGGAGGAATTTGTCCTCCATTTTCAGTGTCAGCCCTTTGGCAGACCACCAGCATCTCAAATCACTGGAAGAACAGGCTCATCTACTTGCCACATCTGCTCATGGATTTCACCTCAGGGCAGACAGATTTATTGGCTGGTGGTAGCTGCCCATCGGCCCCTAGCAGGGAGGTTATGGATTATAAAATCCTTGAAGAAATATACTTTTTCCACTTTAAGGGAAAGACTTGGCCTGGCTGGTGTGGCTCAGTGGTTGAGCATCGACCAGGAGGTCACAGTTCAATTCCCAATCAGGGCACATATCTGGGCTCAATCCCCAGCAGGAGGCAGCTGATCAAAGATTCTTTCTCATCATTGATGTTTCTATCCCTCTCTCCCTCTCCCCTCCTCTCTCTGAAATCAAAAGCATATTTTTTAAAAAAGGAAGACTTAAAAAATTAACCAATGGGAATGTTGCTCAATCCTCTATCTCTGAGGGTGAAGTAAAAGCAGGCAAAGAGGCTCCCACAACTATTCCTTCTCACTTGACAGTCTCCCCTGAACCCCTACTATTCTCCCAATGCCAGGATTTCTCTCCACCCTTTTTTCCTTGGATTTTGATCAGCATTTTGCCTTTTGTTCTGACCTTACCACTTCACAGTTCCTCAAATCAGTGGCCCTGCTACTCTCTTTTTCGGTGACCATCATATAGGTTATCCCTGCTAAAATTCTTTAATAGACAGAAATGGAAAAATGGGGGGGGGGTCAAATAAACCAATTTGATTTGAATTGCAAACTTATTTAGCACTCTCAGTTCCTGTTTCAGCAAAACTGGCTGTGGTTCAACTGCAGCTCTTTCTGGACCATGCCTTTGAACGTTTTGTTACATAAGTAGGGGAGGTTCTCCCTCGCATAACCTTTTCTCCTGGTCTCTTGTGCCATCAGATATTTATTCATGTATCAGCCCATTTGACTGCCCATGTTATGGGAATTGAGTAATCAAGTGTTTTTCAGCTGTAGAGATTCTTTCTTCCGGTGCTTACTTGTTGCCACCCCTAACCTATAACAAAGGGGTCCCATGTGAGTTCCATGCAGGGTGTCCCTAGCCTGACTTCCTGCTACCTCAGCAGCTAAGAGTTCCTGAATCACATAAAAACTTCCCAGCAGAGTAATTTTCCAGCAACAGAAAGACTCCCTACATCTGTAGAGACTTGAAGAGGGCACTGGACTCATTGTTTGATTGGGTCCTGGGAGCTGTTTGTTCTTTTGTCAATTGCCCTTGGAAAGGAAATCAACAGGGAGTTCCTGAGGGTTTGTGGAGCAAAAATGGCTGCATGCATTTGAATTGGATCAGGAGTATCTTAAAGGTGATGAAAATTGCCCAAAAGATTCCTTCCCCCTCCCCTCAGATTTTAAACCCTTAATGTAGTTAAGAAATACTTATCTCTTTTAATAATAGTACACTGCAGGAATTTTGCAAATTAGAGATGCAAACATATTGCTAAGGCCACTTTCCAGATCACTCATTAATCATAGACCCAGTCCACTGGCTTCTGTGACAGACATGAGCATTTTCAGGAATTACCCATGATACCAAGGGAAATACAGGACTGAGAAATTCCCAAGCTCCTTACAAAATCTCTGTGACCTAACTCAGGTTATTCTTATTTCTCACTTTCAAAAAAAAAAAAAAATCCCAATATGATTCATTCAGAAAGTCTTAGCTACAGGTCCTGAGATTCACATCCTCCACCCAGCATAGCCACCCCTGTTAAGAAAAACCATGGTGAAAAGATTTCAGCTCCATTGCACTGTGTGTAAAAGAAACCAAGTAGGTTAACAGTCCACAACTTATATATTAAAATGATAAACACACTGTGTACTAAATGCCAGGCAACATTAACCCACCCTTGTGAATGTCTTATATAATGTAAAGTACAATAACTGGGGGTTGTTTGGTTCTTGCAGCGTTTTTTTGTCCTGGATAATGGAATGTTAAAGTATTCAAAGGCACCACTTGATGTAAGTAGCACACAAGGCATGTGTCAGAGATTGATGTAGAATTTGCTTGAAGTGTGTCCACACCACAGCTGTGCCAGCCTTGTGCCATAGTTACCAGCTTTGTTCCTTTTTGTGCCTGTAATATTTAACAAGCTACCAGACTTCCATGCTGCATGGAAGGTGTGTTTTAGGCTTCAGCTCAAGCTAACATAAAATCTCAAACTGGTGCATGGAGATTTAATTTCACTATTGTGCTGTCTGTTGTTCCAAGCAAGCTTAAACCTAAAAGTAACACACTAACAAAAATCAACTTTTCTGTCTTGGAGAGAAAAACCCAAATAGGCTTTTTTTTTTTTTTTTTTGGCATTTTAATAAACTATGCTTTATGTGCTGTTTGAGATTTAAAGCAACCTTTGTTCTTGTCGATGTCCTTTTAATACCTATCTTATGAACTTCATTTCTATTTCATATCATACATTCTCTTATCTTGGGAATCCCAACTTACTAAAATTAATCCTATTTATTTTTCTTTACTGTAGAAAGTAGTTGTTTGCATGCAAAACTGGAAAATGCCCTCCTTATCATTGTGGTGTGGGGAAATAAGAGAGTTCTGTTTTGTTCTCATCTCTTCCGTTAAATCGCTGTGTGTCCTTGGTCAGACGAGGGCAGCCAGAAGGAAGAGCGGGCTGCTCTGTGCTCTCTGGTCCCAGCTGCCCAGTTCTGTCCCAGCAGCTGTCTGCTAGCAGATTACTTGGGGATGGTTCTGGGCTGTAGGTCAAAGATGGACCACAGTTATTTTAAGAACCATAACGATACATTTTGGGGGATATAAGTTATGCAACTTAGAATTATAAAAAAGGGACATTATACGTTATGCCAGAAACAGGAGTAAGAGCTGGATATTCTTACTTACTGAAATTGGCGTGGAGTCATGGCAACTTCAACTGTCCTCAGGTTAAGGACCTTCACCTCAGAACCCGAACCTTTTTCCCTTTCTAAAGAGAAGTTAAAGATGCCATTAAGCTCACTTCCGTGCAGAAACACATCGTCTGTCCTTCCAGACTCTTTACTAGTGTTTTAAATATTTCAGATTCAAAAAGGGAAGGTCCACGGAAGCATCGATGTCGGACTCTCGGTCATGTCTATTAAAAAGAAAGCTCGGAGGATAGACCTGGACACAGAAGAGCACATCTATCATTTGAAGGTGAAGTTGCTTTTCACCAGTTTCTCTGCCATTATCCGAGGAAATCACTTGCCTGTATCAGCGGTAAACAGAGCATCGGTTTCACCATTACCTTCTCCTCTTGTTCATTGTTTTAGGTGAAATCCCAGGACTGGTTTGATGCGTGGGTCTCCAAACTGCGCCACCATCGCCTGTACCGGCAGAATGAGATTGTGAGGTCGCCAAGAGATGCTAGCTTTCACATATTTCCTTCAACCTCCACAGCTGAATCCTCACCAGCTGCTAATGTTTCCGTCATAGATGGAAAGGTGTGTCTTAGAAATATAAAAGTCAGCCCAGAAATTGCTTGGAAAGTTATGTAGGCCCATAACAGAGTCTCATTTGACCAACCCAAAAGAGATGATTTTCTTTGTAAAGTAGCTCTCAGAAGACAGTAGTGACATTTGGCATCAAAGTTAATAACAAGTACGGATCAGGTGGATATGTAGATCACCAAGAGAATTAACAGTTGCTTTTCCTTTTTACGAATGGACTACAACCTAATTTTCTATAGCTTTTTAAGAATATTTGGAAGTGGGCGAACATTTGATTAATTAGCACCTAGAAATTGATGTCTTCCTGGGTGGTAATAGGAAGACTACAAAGTTTTGAAAATGAAACTTGCTTTTTTGCCTTGAGATGTAATACATACATGATCCAGGGAGAGACAAGTAAATTTCCCCCTGAGGTTAATGCAAGTGGGCTAGAGAATTTGCCGACAATCTGAGCAGTAGCCCACTAAGTCAGGCAGTGTTAGGCATTTGACATATATTCATCTCTAATCTTTAATATAGCGAAAGCTCAGAGACAGAACAGAATTTTTCCAGGTGTTACATGGCCATTGAACAGCCGAGCCAGGATCTGAATCCTCATCTCTCAGTTTCCTTTCCATTATTCTGGGTCCCAGATTGCGGAAGACTGAAGTTGTTCTTTGGACTGTAGTAAGAGTTCATTTTCTGTGTTGCTGAAAAACTAGAGGTGTTGCCTATTAAAAATCAAGGTTAAGACCACAGGCAGGGAGACAGCTGTTTGTGCCTTTGACTCGATAATTAAGTTTTCTGAACCAGAGCCACATGGCCCTGCCCAGGGGTGTTCCAGCTTCCCACTTGGCACCTGATATTGAGAACAGGGACATCTGTGAATAACTGGCTGCCACAAGGAGCTGGATTTGAGAATGTTTCAGTGAAAATCCCCCTTTCTCTATTTTCTCATATAAGGGTGTATAGAGTACATATATCTAAGTTTTCTTTGCAAAACATTGAAAAACATCATGGAGTAACTGTAAGACTAATCAAATCAGAGTAAATAAAACACTTCTGTGTTCAGTTTTTATTATCTCAATGGAAATTACTCAAGTATTTCGTAGGCTCTGAAACCTTTTGGGTTGTAACCTTGGCAAGGCTATTTAATCAGTCCTAGGAAGGAGGTGTTGGGCGAACCAGGAGATCAGAGGGTTAGGAAACAGGGCATTTACTGAATGACCCAACACAAGATGCTCAACGTAACCCCCAAGTTTCTCTGAGCCTCCTGCCTTCCTCCTGCCTTCTCCCCACAGGATAGAATGAATCCCAGAGTTATTCCAAATTAAACAAGAAATGTATCCCTGCTGGATATTTTTAAAATATAAATGTTTAATCCTTTGATGGTTCCAGCTTCTGCCTGCATCTTTGGCACAGAGTGTTGATAAAAGATACATTATTTTCATCCCTTTTGTTATTTATTAAATCACTTGGGTGATATCCAAGAACAGAGAGCTGAAACTAAATCCTCCCCACTGTTTGCCTTGAAATAAGAAAGCTCTTTAGCTCTGGTTTCCATAGGAGATCTATTGCCCTAGTTATGAATGACATTCTCTTAGATCTAACTCAGTGAAAAATTCCCAATACATTTATCAAAATGCAATAAAGTCTGAGTGAGGAGAGCTCTTAACACTGCTTGCATTCTGAGTATCAAGTCGTGAGACTTCTGAATGTTAATTGCTTTGTGGCCCAGTGTGGGTAACAAATAAGTCTGTGTTGGCTATGTATGTGCAGCCTTCACTTCAGAATAAATTAGAAGAGACACAGCCACTTGTAATCGAAAATTAAAAAGCAAAATTAAATATGGAGTTTTAAAGTTGTTTCAGCTTTTGGGAAAATAACTTTCTGCCCCCCCCCCCCCTACTGAACAGTTACTGTACTCACTTTAGTATCTACATAGTTCATACAACTTTATTTCCCATAAAATACCTTCCATGGGAAGTATATCAGCTTTAAGTAATAAACTTGGCAAGACTACCTTTTTATATACTAGACTTTTCAGTATGCATTCAAAGCATTTGCAAGGTTACTGCTGATGGATAATGTACAGTATTTAGGAATCACAGGTGACTACCTCGACCTTGAGCTGATCATGAGCACACAGAGAGCTTTTGTAAGGGGAAAGGCCTTCCATCATGAGTTGAGCCTGCAGTGAGGACACTGTATCCAATACGACTGATGGAGTAATTTAACAATATTGGGAATTTGAGTTGGCAGGTCCCTGAGAGCATGAGATATAACCTACTTGAGTGTTGTCCCATTCAGTGTCCTGGTATAACAGAGAAAGCAATTGATGAAAGTGTTATTAGTGTTTGTGAATTTTGGCTTCACTGAGCATGTACCACATTTAACCAAGTGGCTTTCTCCATATTTTGATTGTGCCCTTTCTTCCTTTCTTTGTAAATGGTCTTTTGAGAGTACTTGTATTTTTTTAAATCACTTCAATGTACTGTTTCTGCTTAACTTCATTTTTTGTTGTTGTTTATTTTAGGTGCAACCAAACAGCTGTTCATGGCAGTCCCCCTTGCCATGCAGCAACAGCCTCCCTGTCACCTGCACCACCGGCCAGAGTAAAGTGGCAGCCTGGTTACAGGACTCGGAAGAAATGGACAGGTGTGCAGAAGGTTAGTTCTTACCCAGTGTGGGCTGTGAGCATAAGCCAAGCAACAGAAACAAAGGAGGTGAATCGTGGGTGCTGCACCTTTCACTTCCTCCACCTCCCTGAGGCCTCGACTTTTTTTTTTTTTCTTCTTATTTTTATACACCAGGTCCTTCTTCCCATGACTTGGGCTTCTTACCTGTCAGTTCTGCACCCTCACAAGTACTGAACCTGGTTTCATCCTTACCCTGACCTCCAGCCTCTTCAGCCTTCTCACCTCATCTCATTACCATTTCCCTTCTGCCTTCCCTAGCCTCCCAGTCCCTGAACCCTGGGGCAACCATGGGAGAAGTGCTACCCAGGACTACCCTCCACCCTCACTCCTTGACTCTCTGCCCCATCACTCCATCACACCTGTGCATTGCCTTGCTTGCAATAAATAGCTAAATTATATTGTGTCTTATATCTACAGTTATCTGTTAGTGGTGTTCCACTGTGGATCAGTTATGAAATACTCTGAACTAACACGTGATTCCCTCACTCTGCCATCTCTGAGCCTCTTAGTCTCCAGAAACCTTCTCCATCTGTAGGGTAATCACAATTATTAAGAAATATGAATATATTATTAACTGGATAGAAGACTCCATAGATAGGCAATGTTAGATAATCACCTCACCAGCACCTTGCTTGTGATATAATTTTGTTTTTAAAAGGCAAGTTGAAGTGTAGGTTCCTTTTAGCGATTTTTTTTCTCTCCTTCCCTCTCACCCTTCCTTCCTTCTTTGCACTGCGTTTCTCCCTCATTTTCCCCTTTTATCTTCTGGTTCCTGCCCTTCAGAGCCACTTTCCCTTGTTTTCTATAAAGGGAAGGAGATGGGCATACACAGGTGCTGCCTCCCCTGAAAGTGGGGAAGGGGCTGGAGCAGTGGAAGGCCACTGGCCTTTCCATTATTCGCTTCCTCCCACCTTCATTGGGTGCTTCCCTCTCTGAAGAAATGTAAGGCCATTGATAGCCAAGAGCTCCCTGGAGGGACAATAGCAGCACTTGAGCAGCCAACCTGGGCTCCATCCTGAGGCAGATGCTGCTAAAAGGAGGGACTAAGGTGTGGCCTGGCCTTCAGATGAATTGCTCTCCACAAACTGTGCAGAGATTCTCAGTCCTCTATAAAGAGTCTTAGTATTTACCTCTATTTTATTTTATAGTGACCACAAAAAAACCTTTTTTAAAAATCCACCAAAATGTCAAAAACCTCCCAAACACAACTATCTTTGTCATTTGACCCAGCTAATCTTTAGCCATATTTAACAGTAATATTTTGTTGCCTATACCAAATTTGTAACAGTTCAGATCGTTGAGATGTAATGAGAAACAAAGATAATATAAGTGAAATTTTCACCAAGTGCCACAAAAATAAGAGCGATCACTTTATAATTTTACAGATTTCTGCACATGCCTCTTCATAAACAGTACACATGCAGAAGTCATCGCATAACTGGGAGCCATGTCTTAATATCACCAATTGAGTAAATAATACTAATAACTCAATATCCTTGACTGTGTTGAATTTCACATACTGAAGGGCCTTTTTTGTGTGATACTTCACTGTGCAGATCTTTAATCGTTCATTTTTTAAATATACAAAAAAAACTTAAAAATAAAATTAAAAGTTATTTCTTCATTCTAAGCCATTCAAACAGAATGGGCTTCATGCCCCGGTGATGCAGCTCCTGCTGGGCCCGGCAACACACTCTGAGAATCTTTAGTTTTGTTGGGTGTAACATCTCCACTAGATGTTAAAGAAATCATGCATGGCCACACTGTTGTGAGCGAAATTAAAGATAAATACATTCACCTGACTCTGTGTTCCATCTTATTTTCCTGAACTTGACTTTGCCTCCACCCGTATTCCAAGTAGTCACCTTGTAAACTATTTGAGGAACAGGTAGACAGGTCCTTTTTTAAAAGATTTATCTTTATTGTGGAAAGTATTACAGATGTCCCCCTCTTTTTCCCCACATTGGCCCTCCAGGTAGACAGGTTTTTAACAGTAAAACCGTACAACTGCTGAAGTTCCCTGGAGTGTGTTTTTGTGAGACAAGGGCACCTGAGCAGGAAAGGGAGCATACACAATTGGTCTGGCTCTCTACAATTTAATGGCTCTCTACACTAATAGCTGCTAATTTGCAGGAGTGCACTTTGAAGTCATCTCTTGATAATCAGTGGTTTTATGGTTCTAAGCCAGAGAAGGGTCTGTGTGGGTTTTTTTCTCTTTCATTTGCCAGTATCACCATTATATATAAACACGGGTCTGCCTAATCATATTTGCCACTGTTTGGATAGATTTATTACCACCACCACCACTCCCTGCCCAGGGCTAACATACTTTTATTTCTGGTTTTTGTTAGACCTTGCACACTGCCAGTCAAACCTTGTGGAGCTTAGCAAACTCCTGCAAAATTTGGAAATACTTCAGAGAACTCAGTCAGCACCCAACTTTACTGACATGCAGGTAAACATATTACTGCTGGTAAAAGGACCTTAAGATATTAGTTCGGAATTTGTACTAGATTGTTCCATGAATGTTTAAGGTAACATTAAAGGGAAATAACTGCAATGTAGATTCGTTTCTATTCTGGAATCATTCTTAGTATTTTGGAATCTTGGTGCCATTGTGGTTAGATGTCTAATTTGAAATGTCTTACATTTCAATACAAACTAGAAAAAATAAAAATCTGAATCATTCTTCTATATTTGTGTTACATTAACAATGATAGCTTTGAAGGTATAACTTAGATGCTCTGCTCGCAGCATTATTACCATCTTTTCACGTAGAAAAAAAAATGCTACAGATCTCTAATCCTGCTTTCATTTTGGATAGCAAAAAAATATATTTAAGTTCTCGTCTTTGCTTTTGAATGCCCACTGTGCATCAGATAATGCCTTCTCTTGGCTGGTTGCTTTAGGTGTCTAACAGTGAGTCTTGACTAACTTGCTCTGCTCTCTTTGTCTAGGCCTGTTTTGTATATGTGTGAACTTAACAATACTTTGTTGCTTTTAACTGTTTGTATAATGTAGGCTAACTGTGTAGATATTTCAAAGAAAGACAAGCGGGTCACAAGAAGATGGAGAACAAAAAGTGTCAGCAAAGATACAAAAATACAACTGCAGGTACAGACTTTACTTTTCCTCCATTCATATTTTTGCTTACTTTTATAGTCTTTACATATCAGTTCATGGAAATTAAAAGGTTTACAGCAGCTTAACTGCTTTAAACCCAGTGCTTTTCAGACTGTTATATTATCCAAAATAGAGGTAAATCTATCCTTTGTACTCTGATCTAAGTAAAAAGAATTTAAAATAAAGGTCAAAATTATTTAATATGGATGTAAAGTGGTATTTTTATTCTGTTATGGCCTTAGAACCATTACAATATATCTTTTAAAAAGTCATTTTAAAAATCTCAACTGACTATTCAGTGGGTTGTAATGAACACTCATTTTTATATAATAGATCTTAAAAGAGCCAAATTTTTACCTGTCAATAAAAGAGTGAGAGCTGCAATAGATTGGAAATCAATAAACCTGGGATCTAGCCTGATTACTGTGATTTCCTAGCAATATAATTTTATGCATTTCTCTGAAATTTTCTGGGCTTCTATTTGTTCCTGGGTAAAGTAAAGGAGTTAATGTAAGGATTTCTGAATTCTCTTTCAACTCTAAAGTTTCATAATTCTATAAAATAGATATTATTTGGCCATCATCAATCACATTTAAAATCTGAACTTGAGTCTTAATTGTTCATAATAAACTTAATTTAAATTTATTTTCAATGTTATTTATTTAATATGAATAATTTTAAAATAAGATCCTATTTTGTTATTTTATTGCAATGATACTAAATATGGTAAATGCCTAAAACATCTTATGCCATAAATCACATTATTTTTAGATCTATAAACTAGAATCTCTAATACTCTGATCCTAGCTGTATATTATAAAGGACTCTTGCCTGGCACAATCAAAATTCAACTTATGACTTTGCTTTGCTTTCTATTGCACTATAAATCAATTTATATTCTAATACAAAGGTAAAGGGAACTGCTTTGCGGAATTCGTCAATGTCTTCTGAATAAATAACTAATTCTTCTTTAATTCTGACTTTATTGATAACATTTCTGTGCCATAATTCTGAATGTGTAAATAACAAACTCTTTGTTGCTTTGCTTGCTAATCTGATGTTTTTGAAAATAAGTTTTCATAAGCACTAAAAATTTATGGTTTATTTAGAATGTCCACATTTTCTGAACACAATTTCTTGTGTTCCTTTGTTCAGTATGTTTTCCCCTCTATTCAGAAAATTAGTACTGTAGAGACAAATGTGCCAAATGACTTCACAAGAAAATTACCTAAAATTGCTTTTGGCAGTTTCATTTGTTTTGAGCACATGATTGTCTAGTTTTGTGGCTGGTTGTTTTTGTTTGTTTGTTTGTTTGTTTGTTTTTTTAAATCCTGGTATCTATGGTTATTATAACCAGGTAAAGGAACCATTATAAAAACTGTTGATTATAATTAGCAATTATTTTAATCTTGTTTTTATAAGGTTTGCCATTGAACAGATTTCCATTCACAGCTATTGTCTTGACTGGTTTTCAGTGAGTCTGAGTGCAGTGCCCCTAGCCACCCTGTGTGACCACGAGGCCACCATAGTCCCCATATTGCTCAGTTGTCCTGAAGGAAATGGGATGAACTCTGAATACCCACCGTTACAGGCTATGCTTTTCAATGTGAAGGAAGTTTATTAAGATTTTTTTTAAGTCATTCGAAGAAATTATTCAAAAAAGCAGGCAAATATGCTTCATTCATACCCCTGCAACATTTTTTGGGGGGGTTGGGGGGAGCTTTTTTGTTTTTAAGTTTTTATTTATGCTGTTTTGCTTTGCTTATGTTTTGCCAAAAGTATAACAAAATGGCCCTGTGGTTCTGGATTATTTTTGAGGGAAATTGGAATCAGTTCATCCCTACACTCAAAGAAAACTTGAAACTTATAAAAGTAGATTTAATTGCATCTCCAACTGGAAATACACAGACTTGGGGCTAGCAGTAAGCTATTAATCATTCCCAGAGAGAACCTATTTCCACATGGGCTGACTGGTAAAACAAAAGGCATGGTGGGGGAAGGCTGCAGAATTTGGTACCATCTCTGGACCTTTTCTGCTCACTCAAACCAACAGGCCTTCCAGGATCCCTTAGGCTGGGGAAACCATAAAATCAACCAGGAGTGACTATGATCAATATAAATGCCGTTACTCATCAGCGTTTGACCTATACAAAGACATAGCATTTATTTTTACTGTTGTGGGTTACCACTTCCTCCCACTCTAAGATACAGGATTTCCCTCCTGTTTTAAGTGTTTCTTGACCATGGGAATCCCATCTGATGGTGCCACGTACTCGTTTGGGCCCATAGTCATCTCACTCCGTGAACCACTCGCTCTGACAGTCACTGTTGCAGCCAACTTGAGCGGCTTTGTGAGTGGCTCATTTTCCATCCCGTTTGTAACGTTTAGAACACCAGCCATTTGTGAATGAACCTAGACTGTTGGTGGTAGCGGTTATTGTTATTGCTATTGTTGTTATTGGTGCTTTCAGCTTTCTGTAGCAGTTTTCATTTTGAAATAATTATAAAACAGATCATTTGAAAAATGGACCCCAGGAGAGTAAAAATGAACATGTTATACTGGTTGTTTAATTGATCATTCTTACAAAGGTTGTTAGATTGTGCTATTGATTTGAATGTGAAGGTTGTGACCGTATTTCCACGAGAAGCCATTGGGAAGCTAGCCTCAGAAGTCCATTGTGTAACTCGCTGAAGGCAGCATTTGTCCTAGAAGGCTCTGTGGAGATTACCTTTTAGAAAAAGGACTTTCTGTCTCCCCAACTTCAAGTTTTCTGGTTCTAATAAAAATTCCAATAACATCCTTGTACAGTAACAGTTGGACTGTGTTTTAACTGCAAGAACAGAATGATTTTTAAAGGGTTGCTGTACAAAAGAGAGCTGCCAGTTTCCTGTGTTGCTAATAGCATGAGTTACATGCTAGACCCCTAGTTGTTGGAGAGGAGGAGTAATAGGAGGTATGAGTAGGAGATAAATGACTGGATGTCGTTCATGTGTAGCCATCTTAGATCTCACAGATGCTCAGATTACACTGTAGGCTCAAAATAAGTTCTTTTTTACTACATTAAACATACAGGGATTTTGTACAGAAAATTTTTTGGTGGAAAACAAATGACATATGTACGTATCATATACGTACGCAGATTTAAGAACTTGGAAGAGAAATGTGATTGTAATTTGGCAGTATAAAGAGAATTGGAGATAAAGGGATTTAAAATATTTTTCTATTGTTAACGACTAAAGCAGTCTTGCTCTTTTTCTCTATCTGGGCTGTTTGGTGGCTCTTAAGTGCCTTTCAGTTAACTGACATCAAAAATATTGCTCACAGCCCTGAAGAGCCAGGATCTGGCCAGTGGAGGCAGAGTTGAGTGGTTGGAAGGAAATGTCACTATTCCTTAATCCCACCCAAGAAGAGAAAGAGAGAAAGAAAGAAAGAAAGCTCAGGGATTCTTCCACCAGTTTATGCACAGGTGCACATCACTGAGTGAAACCTACGCTTTCAGGTTTTCATGGCTGATTTTTGTAGGCGTTGTCCCCACACACTGAGAAAACTGAAGATTTTTTTCTTATGCTATGGGGATCCGCTTGGAAAATTCTTCAACCTGAAAATCCCAACGCCATCCCTAATGTGGAATTTCAGAGAGCTTCAAAGGAAGGGTTTACATGGGGAGTTGAAGATTTCTGCTATCCCCGCCCCTGACATTTTCCTCCCATCAGGAAACAAAAACATTCTGCCTGGCCAACAGAGAGCTCCCATGAGAACCTGTTCATTTTAATTTTTGCACATTATTTTTTTAATTACTTTTTCCTGAACTTTTTTTTTTTGCTCCCATTTAGTGAATGCCTTTTGACTTCATATAACATGACATTGCATGAATAAAACAGTGTGCAAATGTATTTTTACCTTGAAAGCACAAGCTATTTGTCAGTTTATGCCTTTCCATCTCTTTCTGGGGTGGGGCGATATTAGCTAATAGACTTATGTGTTTGGTTATTCTGTGGTGAGAAGGATGAACTTTTCTCACAGCCCGAATGCCCCTTAGAGCTCTTTTTAATGCTAAGATTTAGGAAAAGTCGACTTCAGTTAAAAACTCTCCCTCGCCCGTGTCTGATGATCTCCCGTCCTCCCATACCCTGCCCTCTCTCTGCCTCACCCCGTGTTTTTTCCTCCCTCCTCTTCTCTCATTCACTGTCAGGAAGGGCCATCTGTGAAGAGCCAGTTCGGCTCAACTCGGCGCCGGCAGAGGCTAGCAGCAGCCGTGGCTACAACAGTGAGTGGATCTCAATCTCAAGTGGACATTTAATAACATTGAGAAGCTGTGTGCGTGTGCCACCTCCCCTGTCCTGATGTTGCCACTTGCATGTGGCAGCATCAAACGTGGCTCATTCCTGCGTTGGTATAGCTTTCGCATGCTCTCTGGGTGCCTTTGCATGGCAGGAGTGGACACGGACATTGGTGTGTGAGTTGGTAAACTGTTCCACAATCCAGTTCTCTATTTCTGCTGTCCATGTAAGAAATAATTTCAGTGCAAGGTTGCAAAACTTGTGGTGTGGGATTTCCTTAAACAATATTGTTTGTTTGTTTGTTTGCCATACTGACATTGGAGCCTTCGCTGAGTTCTGTTTTTCTCAGAAAAGTCATGTTACTACAGACATAAATTGTGCTTTTTTTGGTAGCAGTGTGACTATTTGAACAGGATGTGAGAATATAGACATGAGAGGGCAAGAAAAGGTGAATTTTTATGTCATCTCCAAATGGCTACATGAGTTACACTTAGCAAGGGAAAATTGTTTATAAGCTGAAAATCAGAAAATATAATAAAAGCAGAACAACCACAAAGTTAGATGATGTTTAATCCATATGTAGAGGTTGGTTTGGCTTTTCTTTTTTAAATGGAAGGATATTAGGAGGACAGAGGAAGTACTGAAGCAGATAAGGCAAATAACAAATTTAAAAAGGAAAAGTGTGCAGAATAGTCAACTGTCCATATGGAGTATAAAGTAGAACTTGCAAATACAAGAACCCTTTGCTGGATAAAAGTAAATCATAATATTTGCTTAAAGTATGACATCCTATCCACTTTTAAAAATAGAGTACAAGCTCATAACAATTATGTATGTTAGTTTTTTTGGCTATTAGATAGGGTCTTAAGTTAATAATAGTTTTACTCTTGCTAGTGGTGGAGTATAATTTAAGATTAGAATTTCTGATAAATATGGAAAGGTTTTTGTTGTATTAATAGGAGAATGGGTACTGGTGCAAAGATTGGTTTTCTACTTTATGATTGGCAACTGACTTGCATTTTATTGAGGTACGTAGCTGGATTGTTCAAGAAACAGAATTGCTTTGATTATGAAATGAACCAGTGACTTGGAATTTATTAGGGGACTGGCTCTTAAACTCACATTTTTTGAATTTTAGAACAAACAAATTATTGAAATCAGTTTCATATTAATGTATATCTTATGCATATACTCAAATGCAGATGAATAAAGTACATGCCACCTACATGGTAAAGAGATGTATAATCTGTTAAATAATTCTTAAATGTAATATTTCATTTATAAGTAAAGAAATCAGGTGATTATTAGGGAACAGAATCTCAGCATAGAAAGAAAAATACTAATGTTTCCTTAAATAATGTACTTCTAAGATGGCATGTAGGGAAGTGAATGTTTCCACTGTGTTCATTTTTTAATGGCAGATACATACAGTGAATATAATAAAGCTGGAAATAGAACCTATTTGAATAGAATGGGTTTATATTTTTTTAAAGTTGAGAATAGAAGAGAAAAAGCTTTTAAAAGATAAAAGTATTTATGCATACCTCTCAGGGTAGCCGTGACCATAGAAGTTAAGAATAACCTAGATGCATCTAATGAGAAAAGTTACTGGCAACATTTAGCAATGAATTCAGGAATAGCTTGGGGAAGAGGGAGTTATTCTAGACCCTCTGAAATTTATAACTTCATGCACACCCGAGCATAGCAACATCTAGCAGGACCCTCAGCGGGCCCCCTTGGCCCCTCACCCATAACTCAGTGACCTGACACTGGTGACTCACCCTATTTCTTTTATTACAGTGGCTCTCTTTCCTCTTCCCAACACTAAAGTTATCCCACCTATTTTGAGCCCATCCTAACCTGCCAGTACTTTTACTTATAATTCTTCCAAATGACTACTGGTCACTCGTTTTTCTTGCCCACTTGGGTGTCTGGGGCAGCTAAGATTGGCTGCCAATGAAAAGTGCACCCAAGGAGATGTTTCAGAGATTTATTCTTGTTCCCTAGCACTAACGTCCAAATGGACTACTTGCAACATCAGCCAGACCCAACAGAATAGGGGTGGAAAAGGAGAAACACTGGCCCCTCTGCATGGATGGACTCTGAGCGTCCCAGGCAGTCAGCACTCCCCATGGGGTCCCTGTACACACAACGCAGAATGACAGCAGCGGACCTTTCTACTGGCTCTGAGTCATCTGCACTTAGACCTGCTGTTGTGTTTTCTCTTATTCATACATATTCGTCATTGCTAAATTTCAGTGCCAGTAGCTCCCTGTCAACCCATTTGTCTTTTAATTTCTTCACGGACATGTGTTAAAAGCATCTCCTAACATCTCCATTCCAAGCTGTGGTCATTGGTACCAGAACATTCCAGGGTCAGGCTTCCTCCCTGTCACAGGGTTTCAAGGAAAGCCCTATATTTCTTTCCTGAGCAGGCTGCAAAGGCCACATTCAGTGCTGAGGGTTCTGGGTACAAACATTGAGAGCTGCAGACAGCTCCCATTCCAGCCATCACTGACGGAGAACCTAGTTGCCACTTGAACTTTGTAATCCCATAATAACTAGATGGATGAGTAAAATACTAAGTCCCCAGACTGAAGAGATACTCAATTAGAGTTAGATTAACACATTCCACTTTGTATTCTCAACTTCGTTTCATGAATTCTATCAGATGGCTCATTCCATGCACTTCTTTTAACAACAACAACAAAGAAGATATCAATATAAACATTTTCAGTAGGAAACATATAAAAATTAGTTTTCATTACCCCAGGGGCCTGAATGCAGTTGGAATGCAGCATTCCAGATGTCTTTCCCTGGGAGTTATATACAAACCCACTTTGACTGGTTTAATTGCCAATTTAAACTTCCAGTATGTTCAAAATATAAATTTGTAATTTATGTTTTTCTTCTGAGAATCTGATTCCAAATTTTATTTTTTATTTATTTATTTTTTAAATATATTTTATTGCTTTTTTACAGAGAGGAAGGGAGAGAGATAGAGAGCCAGAAACATCAATGAGAGAGAAACATCGATCAGCTGCCTCCTGCACATCTCCTACTGGGGATGTGCCCGCAACCCAGGTACATGCCCTTGACCGGAATCGAACCTGGGATCTTTCAGTCCGCAGGCCGACGCTCTATCCACTAAGCCAAACCGGTCTCGGCTGATTCCAAATTTTAGTAGAGAGGCTGTGATCTCAGGGACAAGCTGGGTCCTTACTGTGCTCCCTGGGCCTCCACTGTACCATGTCTCCCATTGAAGCCTCTCACCAGCTCTCACAGCCACCTCCCTACCCACCTCTCTCCAATGCCAGGGATGACACCCCTCTTCAATGCCAGGCCAGTCCTTCGAGTGTTGAGGACACCGAGTGTAGCTAAAACCCCTTTCCTTGATCGTCAACGCATTACATTCCCCATCACCAAACACCCACATTCCTGTTTCTCAGTGCTCTTCTAGTTCTTTGTATTGGGAAACCATATCCTTAAATCTGGAACTTTCTGACTTACACATTTCCTCAAGGTACAGCCTCTCCCCAGGACCTCCTGATCTCCACTATGCTTCCCATGGATTTTCTTTGTCCTCCTAGAGGGCTATGGACTGACTGCTCTTTCTAGATTTAGCATCACTACAGTGAAGGTCAGAAATTTCCTTTATCTTTAAATACTCGTCCATATAAACCCCATTCCTTTATAAGCATCCCCAAAGGACTTCAGTTATTGTTCTCACAAGTGACCTGGACAGGATTCCAGCAAAGTATGAAGCCTAAGGACTCCATTCTTTCAAATAGCTTCTCTGCCATGGTGTGTATGCCCGTGCATGTGTGCGTCTCTTCTGTGGCCAGTCAGAAACTGAGCTTGTTGAGATGAAGGAACTTTGCACATCTCCCAGCCCAGTGCAGCCAGGGTCCCCATGGAGGACGAGATAGTTACTTTGATAAACCCAGATACCAAATGATTCAGATAATGCGTTCACATGGTTAGGGTAGCTGAATTTAGGGGGAAAGCTTCATGCTCACTTCCTTCCCCAGGAAGCCTTGGTATCTTTTGAGATATATAACTTCCTACCAAGGCAAAGTTACATCCAGAGGACCCTCTGTCCAGTCTCAACTGCCCTTACCCTAGATCCACAAACTACAGCTTGGTCAGATTTTTTGGTTCTCTCCAACTCCTTTGTCTGGCCTCTGTATCCGCCATGCACGTGCACTCATTTATGTTCATTCTCTCTTTTTCTGTCAGGAAGTTTAAAGCAAATATTAAAAAATGGGGGGAAAGGACAAGGTTCTGAGATACATAAACACCAGACAAGATATTGGTTTCTTCCTCCCACAGCATATTTTCCGTTAGATAGAGGATATGAGTAATGCTATCATTTATATAAAATTCAGCTTGCAAAGGAGTCTAAGAGTCTGGTTCTTAAAGATAATTGAATGAACATCTGTGCAATAAGAGCTAGGGGAGGTTGCTAGTCTTATTTACAAGAGGAATTGGTATTTTTCCGAGAATGTTTGGCTGACAGCATTTGTAATGGTCAGGTAGAATGTTCTAGAAAGAGAGGGCAAGGTGCTTTGCCTTCACCCATCACAAATCTAGTCCAGATCCAGCCTGGACAGGGAGGTATCTCTAGCCATTTGGAAAAATCTATAGTAATATGACTTTTTTTACTTAATGCTTTTCCATATTGGCCAGTTAATAAGCCATGCTTATACATGTAACAGCATTGTGTTAAGATACAAAGGTAAACTACCGTAAATTATGCAATATATATGTCATTTACAAACATTTTGATAAATCAATTTCAAACTTAATTGTGAGTCTCTCTAAGCCATTATATTTACTACTAAACTTATTTATGTTTTATCTAATGGCTATGGGCCAAGTAAATTTTCCTGCATATGCACCTCTGAATTTTTACCTGGTGGGTGAGCTCAGAAAGCAGTGAGCATAAAAAGTCCTCTGCCACGAGTACCCAGACCTTGTAAGACAAAGACAGCCACGTCACAGTTTAGCGTTTTCTGCCATTGGTTTTTTAGATACAGCTGTGGGTTCAGAGCTGAAACTTATCTGGAATTGTGCCTTTTCTTGCTGTCATTCTGAAGTCACCTCACCCTGTACCAGTGAAAAGCCAGTGAGTCAGTCGCAGTCCTAAATCCACTATGGGAAATGAGACTTCCTCCCACCCCACCACCTGCAAAGTAAATGAGTACCGGGTGTCTCCGTGTGTGTCACCAGAGAGGAATCTGTTATTTGGAAGACGGGAAGAGATCTTTTCTGTGTGTGAGAATGCACAGTGTACTGTTGCTCATTAACGATTCGTATCTTCCCCTTTCAGGTTCCTTTCAGTGCCACCATGTCACCGGTTCGCTTGCACTCCTCCAACCCCAACCTTTGTGCAGACATTGAATTTCAGACTCCCCCTAGCCACCTCACTGACCCTCTGGAAAGTTCAACAGATTATACAAAACTTCAAGAAGAATTCTGTCTAATTGCACAGAAAGGTAACACCAACTCTAACGTGCCCTTTCAAGAAGTACTCTTCTTTGACGAGAGATTGCCATTTACTCCTTTATCCTTGTCTAGGTGGTCATGGGGAAAGATGAAATGGTTTATGTACTGGTTGGAATTCTATATACAGAATGCAGTAGGATACGACGCCTACATCTTGGGACAACACAAATCATAGGTTTACTGTTTTGACTGAGTAAAGAAAGTGTCATTGGTGGTGGGGCAGCGAGGAAGGAAGAAAGACAAAAAGAGTTATCCTGGACAGGCCAGGTTATAAATTATTCTTTTTTTTTTTTTTTTTTTAATATATTTTATTGATTTTTTACAGAGAGGAAGGGAGAGAGATAGACAGTCAGAAACATCGATGAGAGAGAAACATCGATCAGCTGCCTCCTGCACATCTCCCACTGGGGATGTGCCCGCAACCCAGGTACATGCCCTTGACCGGAATCGAACCTGGGACCTTTCAGTCCGCAGGCCGACGCTCTATCCACTGAGCCAAACCGGTTTCGGCTAAATTATTCTTGAAAGTGTGTGTTAAATGGAGCATCTCAGCCAATACTCAAGAGCCAGGTGGTGCAGGAAACCAAAGGGAGCACATGGAGGGCACCTCTCGGAATGCTTTTGTTTTAACTATATTTTTATTGATTTCAGAGAGGAAGGGAGAGGGAGAGAGGAGAGATAGAAACTGATGAAAGAGAGACATGAATCGGCTGCTTCCTGCTTGCCCCACGATAGGGATGGAGCCCGCAGCCCAGGCATGTGCCCTGACTGGGAATTGCTTGGTTCATAGGTTGATGCTCAACCACTGAGCCAGGCCAGCCCGGCTGGGAGTGTTGAAGTCAACAAAAATTTGTATTCTCAAACCATCAGCACAGATATACCATCAGATGTTTCTTTAATTCTATTATCCTACAACAACAAAGCTAAAACATCTTCCCCCCTTTTCCTCTATAGGTTTCTCAGTTGGAATGCCAACCCTCTTTCACCTGCTCTTTTACTCCTAGTACACCTTTATTACATTTCTTAGCTGGATGCTAATTATGTCACTAGTCTAGAGTAATATTATTTTGCTTATAAAATAGCATTGATTACGGTCAGTAGAGCCAGTAACTTTTACTCATCTTGGGAGAGGGAGTGTAGGAGTAGGTAGAACGAGACAATGTGAGTAGCTGCTTAAGGGAGATGAGTACATTTGAAGGTAGTCCCAGGAAAGCTTTGTGAATATAGTTGCAATCCTGAGGCTTTCAGGAAATCCAAGTTTCAACAGAATTTTAAAGCCTTTTGAAACAACGTATTTTCTTTTCAACTGTGCTAGGAAAAAGAAAGGGCTTCTCTGTGACTGTTGAGTGAACCCTTTAGGAAGAATTATGGATTTTGAAATGACTGAGTCTGCTTTTACAGCTGCCGGTGGGATTGATGTGTTCCAGCTATCAGGTTATTACCTTTAAATTGATGATGGAGGGAATGTAGCAATAAATCAATAGGTTGTGAGTCCCTTGTTATCCCACCATTTTTCCTCTTTAATATGGGCCAGTCTTTATGCTAAAATTTTCCACTTCTAAAAAATAACCTTTCTCAAATAAGGAAATTCCTCTTTTTAGTAGATCTTGAATATTATAGCAATTCTGTTATGGTAACGATGAGAGTTGTAAATTCAACCTTTTGTAATTTAAAATTAAAGACTGCTGCAGATTACACCAATGTATGTTGTTAGGTGTGCAGGAGTTGGGAAGGGAACTAGAGTTTTTATTGTTACTTTTAAATCAAAATACTTCTAACATCAAGATATTCCTGGCTAAGAAAGGATTGCAGGTACTGTTCTTAAGACCAAATCAGTTCCTAACTCAAAGAGAACTAGTAAGCACTTTCTAGATCAGCTGCCTGTTTTTTTGTTGGCAGTGATAAGGTGTGGCTGGTGATTCGGGGTGTGAAGGAATTCACAATGAAAAGAAGAGATGTAGAGAGGAAGTTTATTTTACTTTCCCTCAAGGGAAAGGACCAAGTATTGCTAATCAATACAGGGCAAGAAGTAAATGGCAGCCTGCTCTTCTAAGCAGAGGCTGTAGCTAAGCAACAAGGAAGGGAGGGGAATTTTGGGCTGAAGTTGAGTAGACATCAGGGAGGTTGTCTTGAAAAAATTATTGTTGGTTTGTTTTTCAGGAGACAGTCCAGGCAGGTGTCCTAGGGAGGTGTCTTATCAGTATTTTTCCTAAGCCTGTAAAACATGTTTAGAATAAAAGTTATTAAAACTTTAAAAGAGGCGTGTTTGAAGAGAATGGGGGAAGGGAACTTTTTACTAACTAGAGACCCCTTGGTGCGAATTATCCCTGAGTTGTAAAAACAGCAGGGAGGAGGGGTATGCAAGAATGTAGCCTTGAGAGTAGCTTATCTTGTCTCACAGTTTGAGCAGAGGGGCTCTTTGAATCAGAGGAGCTAACACTCTTAGGGTTTAATTGCCAGGTGCTTCTCATAAACTGTAGAAGGCTACAGCAAAGAAAAAGAAAGCCTTTTTTTCTGTCCTTACAGGCAGGACTTATAAAATGCTCTCTTTGGGGTGTACACTTTTGGGAAATAATTTTTGGATAGTTCTAAATAATGTGCATGTGTCTTCATGGTACACAGAACTGCTCAGATGCTCTCATCAGTTATGGCACAGTAAAACTTGTTCCCTTTTCCTTCTAGGAATTGTGAATTAATGTATAAATATTGATATTAGAATTGGTATGCTGCTCCCAAGTCTTTGTTGGCTTATCTGGTATGAAATGCTATTCATCCTGAATAATTACCATTACCATATTTGTTTTTTGTATAAGTATTATGATAGATTCAGTATTAAAGCTGACTTTTAATTAGGCTGTAATATAACCTTTCCAGAAAACATCTATGCACGACTTAAAATGCAAAAAAAGTTTATAATTTTGGACATTCTTTCTGGACCGATTTGATCTCTGTTTTTCGCTTTTCTCCCCACCCAGTTCATTCCCTTTTGAAGTCTGCATTTAATAGCATAGCTATAGAGAAGGAGAAGCTTAAGCAGATGGTTTCTGAGCAGGATCACAATAAAGGCCACAGCACACAGATGGCACGACTCCGACAGTCACTGTCTCAGGTAAACGAGAATGTGTGTTTCAAGCTCATAACATATTCCCATCCCTGTATGGCACAAATGGGGGTGGAGGCAGTTGGTCATGAGACTGTAAGTCTCCTCAGACATTGAGTATCAGTATTAAATATTATTACTTTTTTCCCATAAAATGTCAAGGTAAGAGTGAAATCAACCAAACTTACTTGCAAATATATAATGATTTTGGCTGATTGAATACTTTTAATGCCTCTTCATGGTTATGTATAAGGCAGTCTCTGGTTTAAAGAAAAAGAATCATGCATTTATATACATGGTTTACACGCCTAAAATATGGTCAGGAATATATTCAATCCAATGTTAGAACAAAATCTACTAGGGCCCTAGCCAGTTTGGCTCAATGTACAGAACTTTGGCCTGGGGACTGAACAGTCCTGGGTTTGATTCACATGCCTGGGTTGTGGACTTGATCCCCAATAGGGGGCATGCAGGAGGCAGCTGATCAATGATTCTCTCATCATTGATGTTTCTGTCTTTCTCTCCCTTTCCTTTCTGAAATCAATAAAAATATACATATTTTTTAAATCTACTAGGTATTCCATACTTAATATTTTTTCCACTTAAAATACATTTCAATCTGTTGAAAATTACTGATTACTGTTATACCTCTTTTTTCCTGATTTGTACTCTTAGGGTTTTCTTCCTATTTAAGTTATGTTCTCTGAAGTTATACTTTCATATTTCAATATATATTATATATATATTGAATACCTATTCATTATGTAGTATTCAATATATATTAAATTTATCTTATGAATATCAATTCAACCCCATGTATTTCAAAGTTGAAATTTCTGATTAAAAGCCTTTAATGCTATACTTATGCTTTTTTTACACTGAGTACTTGCTCTGAAATTAATATTTTCTTTAGTTTATAAATGCACTTTTAAAAATTTCGAGAATTCAATGCTGTTATGTGATTTTGCGTGAGAACTCAGTGTTTATATAAAATATTGTTCACTTCCTGGTGCCTTGGATCAGAGTGAAGGAGCAAGCAAATCCTGGGTAAGTGGTTTTCCATGTGGGTCAGCTCCTGCTTGAACACTTTCCCTCAATCCCTAGGAATTAGACTGAAACCGTCTCGCCATGTTTTATGTACCTGAACTGTCAGTTTCTTTTCAATGTGAAGTTTCATGTTATTGAGTGCTGTTATCTGGACCATGTTTTCTGTGTTCAGTTAAGGTGAAACACTGCCAGTTAAGGTGCATATCCTGCTTCCAGTGCAAAACTAGGGACTTGGGAGCATGAGCATCAAAAGCAGCAACTATGTGCCAGTCTGCAGAGGGTTTTGCTCATAAGCACATTAATGGTTTTCCCTGGACAACTCTCATGGCATGTATTTGTTACAAATACATGCTATGAGTCCATGTTAATTGACCTTCTAAATAACTATTCTAAGAGTCTCATGAATCAGAAGATCAAAATAATGGTGAAGTAAACATGTAAATGTCGTCTTGTAAACGTAAAATGCACTCTTGCCCCTACATGCTGCAATGTTTCCTTAAGATGTTTCTGTTTGTGGAGGCTCAGTAATAAGAAAAACAAGAAAATGTGTTTGATTTTTGCTTGCTTGCTTGCTTTTATTTACTTGTTGGTAAGACAGAGAATGGCAAATAGAGGTCTGGGTTGGGGTACCCAGTGAGATTAGAAACGATGAGAAAGAGAAATTTTTAAAGTTACTCATTTGTTTATTCTTTTATTCATTTCACTCAACTGACCATATATGAAACACGATGCAAGGTGTGGAATAGCAACATCGAAGTAGCCCTGGCCATGTTCCCAGGAAGCTCATGATCTGACTCATGAGATGAACAGTGTTTATCAGGAAACAGTTAAGCAGACCATGCTGTAGTCCATTCACATTGGAACGTGGATGGTGCAGATTCCCAGGGCTTTGGTTATTCAGAGGAATGGAGGAGCTCTGAGCTGTGAGCAGAGTCACAGCTCAGAAGGAACTGAGCCTTGAATTAGGCCTGAATATACAGCAGAGGCTCACAGGGAAGGACCTGATGTTAACATGTCAAAAGTAAAATACAGCAAAATTATATCAACTTTGCATCCTTTGGGTTAAATATTTCCTTCCCTCATCAAAACATATTTACTTACATCTAGACCTAGAGCCTCAATAGATTTTTGTTGTTCTTATATTTTTTTAACCAAAATGCTCAATTTTATCCTCAAAAGATGTAAAAAATAATTTGGTACTATAAAGATGGTTAGTTATACCCTATTCACAACAATTCAGTTCTTCTAATTATGTATTATCACAGCATTTTGGCTATGTTCACACTCTAGTGTCAATCTCTACCTTCCCATTGAACCAATCCTATTCCCATCACCTCTGAGGCTGGTCTTTCTTTTGCAACTCACTGTAGCCTTGGCTTAAACATTTAAGTTTACTGTCAGTTCACTCTTTGAAGAATCATTCTCCATGGTTAGACCACTGGAGAGCTATCTGGAGAATGGCAATAACATGGAGTGAACAGGAAGCATTAGTCTAGGAAGAGGAGTTAAGCAGGTAGGGATCAGTTCATTAAGGACCACACAAAGGAATTGAGATTTATCTTGTCAGTGTTAGGGAGGCCTTAATTTTAACTAATGAGTGAAATAAGAATTTTAGAAATTGGAAATATTGCTACATGTTTTTGCATATTAGAAAGATTATTGGTACAGTATGGAAGATAGATAAAATTAAGGCAAAATCAGTTGGGCAGACTCTAAGATGTTTAAGATAGTGCAGGCCTGAACTAGGGAGGTGACAGGGTGTGTAGAAGGAAGGGATTAATTTCAAAAACACTGAGAGGGAAGAATCAGCATGGATCAGAGATCAACTGAGTATTATTAGAAAGGGACAAGGAGATAGAGTCAAAACTAATTTTTAGGTTGTTTACTTGCATAGATGATAGTTCTTTCCCCAAGAGAGGGACTACAAGAGGAACTGATTTGGCAAGGGTAAATAATGAGTGGTTTTTGTGGAGACTGATGTGACTGTGGGAAATCTAACAAGTAATTAGGTATGTAGATGTTGAGCTCAGGGGAGAGGTCTGGGCTGGAGAGAAAGATAGATACTCCAGTATGTCGCTGAAGTTATAGATGTTGATAAATTGTGTTTTCAGTCAGAATAAAAGAGGGTCAATGGTGCTGCAGCAGAGAACATAAATAGAGGACAGGCTGGGAAAAAAAAAAAAAGAGGATCCTTTGATGGAAACCCAGGGAGGCAGCTGAAGAATCTAGATAGCGATGACCATTGAGATCAAGGTTAAAGAGTTTTGATAAAGTCAATAAGGAAATGGTTAGCAGAATCTGATTTAGCAGCAAATAACATATAGACTGAAAGCAAATAAGGAGACATTAAAGGTAGGAAACAATTAACTGATAGAGCCATCATTTGGTTGGCCAACTCTAATTTTATTGTCCCTCTTTTAATATAGCACTTAAAATTGAAGCAGATGTTAAATAACTTTAGAACATTGAGACAGTTGTTCTGAATGTTTCTATATTAATATAACTTCACATTGCAGTGTGAATTTAGATAGCCTAAAGACATCTTTGATCCACATTCAAATGTCATCAGTTAAATCCCCAGATATTTATTTTATGACCCGTTAGCAAGTCAAATCTCCCCACAGGGAAGGAAGTAGATAGACTGTATTTAAATAACTTCTTAAACTAGTCTAACATCTTTAAAGCATATTTTTTATTTGACATAAGTCCTATTTGATATATATCTTATGATTAAAATGCTGTTTTTTAATAAAGCTTTAAAATATAGCAACTTGACAAATTCCATCCTTTTAGAAGGCACAAAGTATATAATATACATGAAATTAGCATTCTTCACTACAGGCTCAGCCTAAATTGTTGCCTGCCTTGGGCATGTAATAATTTGCAAGACTCAATAGTATAATGAATCCCTCTTCTAAAGTAATGTTTCTCCCCTGATCTGTGTGTACACAAAGGCATACATAATTCTGTTGTTTTACCTCCATGAAACTTTAAAAGTAACTTTCACACCTGAGAGACAGTACAGATGCTGGATTCAAGCCTGTAGAACAGACCATTATATGTGACATCTAGCCCTTTATAAATGACTTTATTTCACAACAGCTATAGTTTTGTGTTTCAATGAATGTAAAATCCTGGAAACCAAATTGAAGTCGTATCAATAAGACTAAGGTAACCTCAGCACTCCAGATTACTATAATAATAAAAGATTCAACTTAACTTGAGTCTGTCTTTAATACATTATACTTTATTACTGTTATTAATGTGATTTCTGGCCCCAGAATTTGTGCACAGCTTATGCTAAATGCAATGGGTGTTGTGTCTATACAAATGTGAGCATCAGAATATGATCCTTCTATTCCATCTAGAATTACTGTACTTCATTAAACCAAAATGCCACCAATTGTTAGATGGACCATCATTTTGTGCACTACTAAGAAACAAAAACTGCTGTCAATTAAAGTGACTCAGTGCTTCAGAGGTGTTAAATGTGGGGGGAAATGTGCATCTTAGAATTAATGAACTGTGGTGTGTATGGAAATGTAAGCAAAAATTTGGCTTAAGCATTGCCCGGCCTCGGTGGCTCAGTAGTTGAACGTTGACCTATGAACCAGGAAGTCAATGGTTCAATTCCTGGTCAGGGCACATGCCCAGGTTGTGGGCTGGATCCCTCGTGGGGCATGTGCAGAAGGCAGCCGGTCAATGATTCTCTCTCATCATTGATGTTTCTATCTCTCCTCTCTCCCTTACTCTCCGAAATCAATTAAAAAAATTTAAAAAAAATTTGGCTTAAGGCACTGAGTAGCATAATTAAAATTCCAATCATAGAATTTACCATCCTTTCTATCTAGAGCATTCACATACCCCAAATAAATATTAAATGTTGAGATAAAAGTTCCATATATATTTGTTTGTTTCTGAATTCAAGAGTTTCCTGAGACTTGGCTAAATTTTTTCTGTTCAACGATATTGTTCATGGAATCTTTTAAATCTTTTTGTTTGTTTAGCTATACAGTAGCTTCAAATTAATATAATTATCAACATGAGTTGGCAATATTAATTAAGGCCTTAACCCTTTGGTCCATGGCTGATATCTGTAGTCTAAGAGGTAAAACTGAATGCAGAAATCATTATGCTCTTGACCATTCATGGCAGCTTTATTTAGTCTAGTAAAATTCAGTAACAGCCTAAGTGCCAATAATAGGAAATAATCACTTATTATGCAACTATTAAAATCATGTTTATGAATATTTTGCACCATAAAATAAATGTTTATATGCAGAGAATAAGTGGCATGTATAACGTGAAGTATGCACCATTGCATAAACTAAAAAATACATAGGAAAAAATATACCAAGCTGTCAATGATTGGTTGATTGAGTATTAAGGTATGAGTTTTTAAAAATAGATTGCTACTTTTTGCATTTTCAAAATATAGCATAGTATAAACTATACTATAAATATACTACATTTTCCAAGTATATGTATTTTTTCATTGAAAAAACAAGGTTATTTTAAAGAGATATCCAGAATTTGATTCTTGGTAGCTCTAACTGGGACAGTTTCCATACTCATTTTCTCATTCCTTTTGAACCAGTTTTGCTTTGACCCAAAGAGTTTAAGTCTCTGATTATTCCATCTTGCCCTCTGTTTTATATCCTTCTCCAGCCATCAGGCCTTCCCAGAACCCACAATTCCACTCAGTAAAGAGTATGTATGACAAAGTCTCACCCAGCCTATGGCAAATTCTCACCCATTACTTGGTTGGGTGGATGAATGGTAGTTCATAGCCAGAAAGATGGAGATTGGGGCAGTTGACTCTGGCTCACATCTTCAAGGTGATAACTTCTTTTATAGCTTGGGAAGGAGTTGTGTATTTCTTGGATATACTAGACTTGAGTGTGTATGAGATGTTGGAGAAATGCACATACCATGTGGAGAGTTTTAGTGAAGTCCAAGTTCATTAACAAAGGCAAGTAGTGAGAATAAGTACAGAACCTGCCCAGTGAAGAATCTAGGCAGAGTTCCTGAGCCTCCCTGTTAGGCCTACATGCCGCTAGTAGACCAATGTTACTACTGACGAGTCCCCATAGCTTTTCTTGCTCGTTGGCTGATGGGAGTGGCTGGGGATCTGCCTCCTTTTTCCTTGCTTCGTCCAGGCTCCTTGGATGCATTCCATACATTGTTTCTGCCATAACCTGGCATCTTCCATAACCTGGCATCTTCCATATTAATTATCACTAACAGCATCATTTCACTGAACATACCTGTATTCCTCAATGTTCCCAAGGCCTCCGAGATATAATTACAGAGAAAATAGTTGAGTTTTAGGGAAGGAAATAATAAATGTGGTCCTGAGCACTGCCTGACAGCTCTACACCACAAAGCTCATTAGTTGTAGCAAACATCAGAAACAGTCCCTAGGGGAGGCCGGGGGAATGTCAAGTGGAGGGTGAGAGGGGGGAAGGAGACATATGTAATACTCGTTGTAATACTTTAAGCAATAAAATAATAATAATAATAATTAAAAAAGAAAAAAAAGAAACAGTCCATACGATCGAGGCAAAAGGAGGAGCTTCCGGGGAAGATGCACAGAAGTGGGCTGTTGCATGCTCAGTTGTATGCTCGCACTTTCTGCCATTGGGGTTGTCAGAGTTGGGACAGTATATTTATTTCCATGCATTTTTGTGCTGTGTAAAACTTTTTTCTACCACTGCATATATATTATTAATAAAATATTCCTTTAAAAATATTAGCTCATTCCTTATGGGTATTAATGGCTAGAGGTTATCTTGTGTGCCTTCATGCATATCTGTAGGCAGAATCACATTCAGTGAATATTGGACAAGATGAGGGCTTAATTGAGAATTTCACTTTTTTAAATATCCAGAGCAAACAATTCTACAAAATGTTTCTTATAAATGGCAGACCTGTGTTTAAATCTCCCACCCTAAGGAAAACCATTACTTAACCTTGCCCTTGAGTTTTTGTGGGGTTGTTTCATGAACTCTGTTCCACTGGTAACAGAAAGTACAGTCACTTTGGAGGAACTATTAGTTGAGGTGTGTATGAAACCCTGAAATCAAGACTGTGATTCTGCAAATAAAACCATCAAACAGCCTACCACAGGCCTTCAACATCCAAAACAGCAAAATACATCTGGTTCCAATTATTTCAGTAATTAAGACAACTTACAATATATACTTTGAACAGAGTACTAATGAAAGAACAAATAAGGATGTGTGTAGTAGTGGCAGTGGATAGGAATAATGCAGTATTTTCTCTTTAAATGCTAAGTGAGATTTTGTTCCAAGAAAAATGACCCTGCCCTAGCTGGTTTGGCTCAGTGGATAGAATGTGGGTCTGTGGACTGAAAGGTCCCAGATTCGATTCCAGTCAAGGGCACATGCCTGGGTTACAGGTTCAATCCCCAGTTGGGGGCATGTAGGAGGCAGCCAATCAATGATTCTCTCTCATCATTGATGTTTCTATCTCTCTCTCCTCCCTTCCTCTCTGAAATTAATAAAAATATTTTTTTAAAAGAAAAATGATCCTGAGCACCTTTGCAGAATGTAGACATTAGAATTCTTCCCTTGGAGCACGTGGTTTATTTATTAAAACTGGACACATATTTCCTCCTACCTGCAAATGTAATGACTATATCCATCTTTAATCCATCAATACTTGACTGTTCCACCAGACCAAATGTGTTATATTTTACTGACCAGTTCTAAAGACTTTATACAAAAGCCAAAAGCTGTGAGTGAACAATTTTCTTCTCAATAAACAGAAGCTGGATTGAAGGGAGAGAACAGAGACCATTCTGTGCTCCATGCTCAAGGACTATGCACTGCACCATGCAAATGTGACATTAGCCACTATACTTTATCCTGGGTGTTTTAATAGGCACCGTCTTATAATTATATGACATTTGTATATTGGTTTATTGTGTTCACTGGGCCTTGTCCTGGAAACTCGATGTGACTCTGGCTAGCTACATCTCTCATGTATATGGAGGATGCTCCCCTGCATCGATCGGATGCATGCACCTTTGTCCACGGGCTCCTGTAGGCAGCTGTGCTGTGTGGAGCTGCTCTCCAGGCCGTGTTTTACTGGTGCTGAAAGCAACGTGATGCAGATAACGTGCAGTTAGTTTCCTTTCTGTGTTCTGTTCTTCATTACGCTTGTCCGTGTCTCTGCTGTTCAGTGAAGGCACCTTTTGGTTCTGCTGCATTGTCATATGTACTAATTACGTGCTCCTGGAAAATGAAAATACAACTATTTTCTTTCACCAAACTGAAAAATAATTCTCTAAACTATAAAGCCAATTCATTGTTCATTTCATTTCCAAATAATTTTTAAGGTAACAATCTGGCTTTCAAACTTTAGAGACTAGAACAAAAAAATTTGAAAGAATTAATAGCTTTAATCCCCAGGTCTAAAATGTAATATATATGTGGTGGTAGATGGGCTTGGGTGTAACGGGCCTGACCTAAGGGAGAGAAAATTCCATGAATCATTTTTATGAAATCCATGACCTCTTTCAACCCTCTAACCTACTGAGTAGTAGTCTTATATGACACAAAATGAATCTCTTAATTCTGAGCCATTTGTTTCCTTTTTACCAGTAGGATCAGGCTTATGATGACTCCAAAAGTTACAGCTAAGGACATCATAGTCTTTGTTGTCCGAAATGTACCTGTGTGCTTGTTCTGTATTATGCTTGCTTATTAACTTGAAATTACATGTGCGGTTTTTGTTGTTTTAAGGCACTCAACCAGAATGCTGAACTAAGGAGTCGGTTGAGCAGAATACACTCAGAATCTATTATTTGTGATCAGGTTGTCAGTGTAAATATTATTCCTAGCCCTGATGAGGTAAGGCTCAATTTTAATAGATGTGGAGTACTTATTTTATAGCATCTAAATCTACTGCATATTTTGTTTATTTTTATACAGTTCTTTCACTATTAACATCATTCCCTGCATAAATATTTGTGTTGCTGGCAGTTCAGTATTCTTTGGAGGGAAAGGGTGTACATGAGCTTGTCATTCTTGGTGATCACGGTCTATTTTTATCTATTCCTATGTTCACCGGATGCCACCGAATATTTAGTTTATGTCTACTCCATCTGGTGAATTTTCTGTATCTGTCTCAGTCTTCATTTGAAATGTTCATATTATGAAATGGCTCATGCAATGTTTTTTTTTTTTAATGTTTAGCTGAGAAATTGCTAAATGAATATTTTCTTAAGGTTTATTTTTAAAGTCCTATCTAAGTAGTTGTCTGACCTTTCTAAGATAATACGAATGGTGCTGCTATTGCTGCTGCTGCTGATAATTAATAGCTAATGTGTGTTGAGTGAATGCTTATTATGTGCTGGGCGTTGTGCTAACCCCTTTACATGTGTTATCTCATTTGACACTCCCAATAGCCCTCTGAGGTAGGTGCCCTTATTCCATTTTTTCAGAAGAATTTTTGAAGAAATGGTAAGAGGATAGGAGAACATTCAGTATTTGGGCTAAACTTAGTGTGTAATTATTTTTTAACACTTTTTAAAATTATTGTTTTATCGCATGAGAATTAACACTTTGCAGCAGTGATATTAGACCTTTAGATATAGTCGGTGAGAGTTTTACCTAATATGAAGGTCATATTTGTGCCAAAAACATGTTTACTAGAAATCTACAAGTGCAGCAATTCTCCCATCTAACTCCTTGAGAAATGTCATCTCAACGCAGCTTCTCTGAAGTTGCCCACCTGCCTGGTAACCATGATCTCTGATGACACTAATGCTCGCTCAGCTGCCCAGAAATAATCTAGAAGTATTTCTAAAACTCTATCATTTAAATATTAGTTAGCAGTCTCAGTTTGAATCTTTTTAAACCTGAAATGTTTACTAGAATGTACATATGTAGAATGTATATATTACAGTTCTCTTACACATATTTTAATGGAAACTTAAATATCTTCGTTAAGAATTATATTTATCACTGACGGAATAAAAAATACAGTTTGAAATAAGGTTTAATAGTCTAGTCATGTTTCCTTGCAAAATGACTTTTGTATATTCTGTTTTAAAAATTAGTCTTGTAGATTGTTTTCTTAGAATATTTATAGTGTTTCTTCAAATACTTTTTGAGGTTTAGTATCCTAGTTGGAATATAGCTAGTAATGACAGACATAAGTATATGAGAATGAACTCATTACTATAGTCAGTTTGGGGTATTGATAGGGACCCAGTTTGTTAAATTCCACTTAATATTCGGCATAAATTTGAAATCAAGTCATGGTATCAGCACCTTTCAACTATGCCTTTTAGATTCTTTAGACATATTGGAAGAACATTTATGCAGTCATTTCTGAGTTGGAAGTGAAAATTACTTGTGGTCATCACTCTTTTAACATATGGTGTGAAATTCTCTAGAAATCTGGGTAGCACATCATGGTCTAATTTGAACAAATAGCTATTCTTTGTACCAATAATGATTGCACCATATGCTTCTCTCTTCTGTAGCCTGGCGAGCAAATCCATGTCAGTCTCCCTCTGTCACAGCAAGTAGCAAACGAGAGCCGCCTCTCCATGTCAGAATCTGTCTCTGAGTTCTTTGATGCCCAAGAGGTGCTCCTCTCTGCAAGCTCATCAGAGAATGAGGTAACGTTCTTTGGGGTGTCAGCCCCAACTGTGAGTTTGTGTTAAAGAAAGTGAGATTCTGAGACTTTTTTAACATCATTGTAAGATATCCAAGTTGTAACAAAGGCAAAAGCATGAAAACTATGTTGGTTCCTATTTACTGAGCACTTAATGCTTCTGAACATCAACTTATGACTCTTAAATTTGATGCATAAAGGGAAAGAATCAAGCACTTATTCTAATTTTCTTGTATGATTTATATTTTAGAGTAACCAAATAGTTGATTATATAGAGTATTATATAGAAGGAGACTAGCTAATCATTGTAGAAAGAATGAAAGAATTTGAGTCATCATTCATGCTTGCACATGTATTATATAACACTAGAGGCCCAGTGCACAGATTCGTGCACTGGTGGGGTCCTTCATCTTGGCCTGCAGGATCAGGCCGAAACCGACATTCCGACATCCCCCTAGGGGTCCTGGATTGTGAGAGGGTGCAGTCCAGGCTGAGGGACCCCACTGGTGCATAATCGGGGCCGGGGAGGGACCGCAGGAGGGCTCCAGGGCGTGTCCAGCCCATCTTGCCCAATCCCAATCGGCTGGACCCCAACAGCAAGCTAACCTACCAGTCAGCATGTCTGCCCCTAGTGGTCAGTGCACATCATAGTGACTGGTCAAACGGTCGAATGAATGGTCGGACACTTAGCATATTAGGCTTTTATTATATAGGATATTATGTATAAAGATATCTTAACCAGAGACGTGAATTTGAACTGAGAAGGATAATGTCTAGCATATTTAGTTGGGTAATTATGGTCTGGGGAGGTTACCACTGACTATCATAAAAGCTTTATTGGATTGTTTTCATGCCCATGAGTCTTTGCAAGGTTGTGGCAACAAGGAATCTCTTATTTAGTCAGGTTTCAGAAATGTATTCTTTTACTGAAATTTAGTCAAGTAGGCTTTTTTTTTATTATTATTATTATTATTATTATTATTATTATGGCATGGGAGAAGCAGCCAAAAGTTTTCCCACACAGTTGATTAGCAATGTTATCATTTGAGATTGCAAATCTGTACTGCATTTTGACAAAAAAAAAAAAAGAAACAAAATAGTTGCTAAATGCTATTTTTATATGCATAGATTATAGTTTGGAAGAAAACATTCTGACAATTAGTAGTAGTTGTTTTTTGTATATTTGTAATTACCAGTGATTTTAGAAATATAAATAAGTGGAAAAGAGATAGAAATAATGAGCACATATATCACTTTTATAATGGAGGAAAGGTAAAATAGAAATCTTATGTCAGGCACTAAATTTGACATGCACCTGCCTCCCAGGTTCCTAATCATGCATTACCAGATTCACAGACTCCCATTCACAACTGAGTACTTGTTTAATTATTCATAGTGATAATTGATGCTATCAGATAGACAAAATAATCAGGCTTGCTGATTAGCATCTCTTTCCCTGTAGGCACATCTTCATGGGAAGCCTAATTGTAGTCAGGAGGTTGTTTGGTGAGCAAGGAAAGACTGGAAGCAGGAGAAGTGAGTTGAGTGAACTTGAGGACAGGAGGGCCAGGATATAATAGCTTCAACCTTCCATCTCCTTAATAAGGAGGGATACGCTGCCACATGGATGGGTTATTTGTGTCTGTGATCCAGTCTCTATGCCCCCATTCTGGAGACATGCTACCAGCATTTTCTTTTCTGACTCTTCTTTTTCTGAGCTCCCATTGCTGACCAGTTCTTCATCCTTCTTCAATCAAATTACAGTCAAACTGGACCCTACATTATCTGGGCTCTGACCCATCATCTGATGATTACAGCTTATCTCTTAGAAAGAGACCTTATTTCCATTTCAAAGTTCTGGGGCATACTCAACTGAGAGGCCGATTGCCCCTTGAATAGACACTGGCAATGCAGAAATGAAGAAGATATGAAACAGGTTATTGCACAAGTCCAAGCAAGGTGGTGGTGTCGCCTTGGCCGAGTTACTCAGTGGGTTGGAGCATTGTCCCATACACCAAAAGGTTGGGGTTCGATTCCCAGTCAGGGCACAAGCCTAGGTTGTGAATTCGATTCCCTGGTCAAGGCATGTATGGGAGACAAACAATTGATGTTTCTCACATCAATGTTTCTCTCTCTCTCTCTCTCTCGCTCTCTCTCTCTCTCTCTTCCTCTCTCTCTAAAAATCACTGGCTCATAGACTTGAGGGAGAGTCATAGGGCCTCCTTTTTTGTATATTCTTGTTGCATTGTACTGAAATATTTCTGGCTGTGTACTAGCCTCCCACCCCAGCTAAGACAGGGAGCTACGTATTTTGAGCCATTCTATATTCATGGAAGACCCTAAAGTGTTCACTGCACATATGTCAAATGCATTTCCCACTATGACCTCTGCTTTTAATTTGAGCAACATCTTGTGTTTAATTGTTTGATTTTCTGAACTTTCAATACTGAACAAGAATCCTGATCCTTTCTATATTTTTTCCTTCTCTAGGCTTCAGATGATGAGTCTTACATCAGTGATGTGAGTGATAATATATCGGAAGACAACACCAGTGTTGCGGACAACATTTCTCGGCAAAGTATGCATCCTTTGAGCTTGCAGGTTCTTCTCTCTTCATGCCAAGTTACAAGGCTGGTGTTTCAGTGAACAATCACTCCCTCCCAAATTAATTGTTCCTTTTGTAGTTGATAGTTTGATAGATTTTGTATTTGTATAATCTGTTGAGGTAAATGGTTCTAAAATCTGTTAGGTAAATGATTGTGAAAAAGTTTTGTTTCTTGCTTAAACCAAAAATTGAGTCCTTCTTACTAAGTATATTTAACTTTTAAAATTTTGACTTTTTTTCTTGAATATTTTAGTGTAGTTAACACCCTGTTTGAAAAACTGTACACTAATATTTTTTGCTTTTATTAGCAACCTTGTGTCGAAATAATTCCATTCGTTCTTGAGGGAGTATAATAAAAGGCTTGAGAAATGTATCCCAGTCAGAATTATTTGAAAGGGTTCTTTCCCTCCCGGGTTTTATGAAAAGCAAAGTATCTTTCATCATGATTCTCATCTCCCGATTTCAGTCTTGAATGGGGAGCTTACAGGAGGGGCCTTCCGGAATGGACGCCGAACGTGCCTGCCAGCTCCCTGTCCTGACACCAGTAACATTAACCTGTGGAATATCTTGAGGAACAACATTGGTAAAGACCTATCTAAAGTGTCTATGCCTGTGGAGCTAAACGAGCCGCTCAACACCCTGCAGCATCTCTGCGAGGAGATGGAGTACAGCGAGCTTCTGGACAAGGCTTCGGAAACCGACGACCCCTATGAGCGCATGGTAATAAATAGCAGAGCCGTGCTCTGCGGGCATTTGTCAACCCGGGGCCTGGGCTAAAGCAGGATTCATTGTGATGGCACAGTTGGTTTCTGCATAACATTCTCACTGTATAGGTAAGAGAGGAATTGGTCCATTTGCAGAAGTCCACTAGAAGATACACACTCTGACTTACGCTTGGCTCCGAGTGTTTCTAACGTTAGGATGTAAAAATCACTCTTCCTCCGGGTTGAAGGCATGCCGAGCCTCGCTTTGTTAACTTTTCCCGAATGCCAAGAGAGCCCCTTTGTTCTGGAACTTGGGTCTGAGGTTGGAACCTCCTGTTTGTGCTTTGCCCTGGCCTCTGTTCCACATGACTGTCGAACACTTGACCTGCCCTCAGAAAAGCACCAACAGCCACAACCCTTGTGCACATGGCACTAAGATTGTGCGGACAGCATCACCTGTAAACGGGGTTTCAGAAACTTTGGACTTGTGATACTCGGGAAATTTGGTGGACAGATGAATGAAAAATACTTGGGTAAATGAGAGGCGTTTAACCTCATTTTCCCCCATGAGTGTATGAAGAGTCTGCGTAAATAATAGAAAATGCAAATGCCGTGCAGTCAGCACCCAGTGACGGGGGATGTAAAATCTAGAGGAATCAGGGACAAGCAGACCTGGAAGTAGTCTCTCCTATATTATTTTCCTTTCTTAAATGTTTTAACAGGTTCTTATTGCTGCATTTGCAGTTTCAGGATATTGCTCTACCTATTTCAGAGCAGGAAGTAAGCCATTCAACCCTGTCCTTGGGGAGACTTATGAATGCATTAGAGAGGACAAGGGATTCCGCTTTTTCTCAGAACAGGTAAGTTCCACTGCATCAGGGAGGCTTCTGTGTAGGTAGCTGGGCAGTTTGATGATGAAAATATTTTGTAAACGTCTGTTTGGGGTGGGTTACGATACTAATGGACAACTCAATTTATTTATATAATTGCCCCCTGTAAATATATATAAGTTCTCTGTGTTTAAACACAGAAGTCTTAAAAGTTCAAGATTCAATAATTTACTTGTATATTTTGAGAAAAATTCATTAATAGAGGTGGATGAGCTGAGTAGTTTTTATTTGGCAGAAGCCAATATACGTTGTTAAAAAAAAGTTGTTGTTTATTGAAGTTTTAACACTGATGTCAAAACTTTCTGTTTTGTTTTTAATTACCAGGTTAGCCATCATCCACCCATTTCTGCCTGTCACTGTGAATCCAAGAATTTTGTGTTTTGGCAAGGTTTGTTTTTCAATTACAACTTAAAAACCCAACTGATTGTCCTATGGGACAGTTTCTGGTCTCCAAAACTGGAACTCAGCTTACATTGCTACCTTTGGAACTTGGAGAATGTTCGTAATTGATGCAGAGTTCCGTTCAAGAAATTAGATTTCCTGTTTGAAATATTAAACCATGTTATCTAGGAGATGAGGTTGTTTAGGAAGCAAGCCCTATGGGTCAGCAGAGCTCCAAGCTGACTGTGCCAGCTCGGGGCTAGCACTTTACCTCGTTGTGCCTCATTGTGTCTATTTTGTATGGAGATTTTATCTGCTATCTTCTTGCTTCCTGAGGGTGTACAAATACATCTTAGTCCTAAAGGAAGGCTCTGTGGCACATCATCTGTGGTGACAGTCTACTAAGTATGTAAATATTGCACTGATTTCTGGTCTTTAAGTCATTGAGGTATTTGGATTGGAATCTATTGAACCAATGCCTGTTGTCCAATCAGAATGTCACAAACTTGCCTAAAATAAAATGTCTCAAAATCCCTTTAGCAAGAATACATAATATTAAGTATAAATAGTTTATGTTCAGAAGGATGCTTCATTTGCTTCTCATACATCCACACTTCCTCAACCTGAAAACATGCAGAATGACAGAGCACTGTAACTGCGCTTTATTGCAAAATAAGAACAGAAATCATTTCTTGGTCATAACATAGAGTCAGAAATTTGGTGGGGCAGCTCTAAGCTCCTTTAGTTCATCAGAATGGGACCAGGTGGTTATTATGGATGCACAGGTAAACCTCAGTTTCCACAAGTCAAACATAAAGCTTCACGTGAGATAAAGTGCTGGGCCCTGGAGTCATATCTCGCCCAGTGTAGGAACATATTAAGTTAATCTCACTTTCTCATAACCTTATCTATCTGTATTTAGAGATTTTATTTTTGTACTGGTCTCCCAAATCATATAACTCTTCAAATAAATGTGTATGTAAATCCATACTGCCATTAATTTTGCTATAAACTCACTTGTTTCTATATAAACTATTTCCACTATCTAGTTAAAACTTATAACAACATTTACCCAGACAGTAAGGTGTAGTAAAGTACACATACGTATGTGTATGTGAATGTGCACCCATACACACATGTATTATCCCAGGCTTTCCCCAGTTTTGTTGGTTGTAAACAAATATGAAACGTGTTATGAAGAAATATAAATAGTAGGTTTTTTTGGTTCACAGTTAATTTTTTTTTCACTTTGGGCCATCTTTGGGCATTTGTTATGTTAAATCAACAATATAGAATCAATTGTAATTACAAAAGCTCTTTGTGAACTGTAAAGTGTAATATAAACTTTAGTTTTTATAGAATAAATCATTAGACATAGAGTATATATTTCTTGTCCTCTGCCTGTGTCATAGATATCAGGTGGAAGAACAAGTTCTGGGGGAAGTCAATGGAAATCCTGCCTGTGGGAACGCTGAATGTCATGCTTCCAAAGTAGGTTTCTCTCGTCATCCTTTTGGTCTCTTACCTGCTTTTCAAAATCAGAAATGGGTGTTTGTGTCCCTGGATGGCCAAAGCATCTGTTAGTTTTACCAAAGTGCTGAGAATGTTCTCCCACAAAAGCAAGCAAGAACTTTAACATGTGCATTAAGCTTCCTGTTTATCTCTTCACGTCCCCCAGTCATCAGTCAATACCAGGTACCTACCTGTCCCAGTCACCGTGTTTGCATTTTATATGAAAGAGTCTCATTTTGACCCATTTCTTCTTAAACAACTTACGATTTCATTTTGAGTTAATCTTAGATTCAGGGACTATTTTTAATTTCTAAGTTATTTTATTAAGGAAGAGTGATAAAATTCTTATATGGCTTTTTTCCAAAGAATATAGCCTTTAAATCTTTTCAAATTAATTGAAGTTTTCATTGAAGCCAAAAAGCTTAATTAGTTTTGTTTCTGTCTTCAGTTTGTTGGTTTGGTTTGGTTTTTGTCTATTTGAAGATGGACTGGATATGGAGGAAGGTAGAGAAAGAGGAATTCCCAGGACCACAAAATAAACTTTCAATATTTGCAAACTCATGAGGAAGAAAGAATTTTCCCAGTGGTATATAGTTCCTACATCATACCAATTCATATTTTTTTTAGAAACTTAAAGCATTTTTTAATTTTGAAGTAACATTTTATTAATAAATATACATAACATGCAAATGTGACTTGAAGCTTTGTCACCTTGTTCCTTAGCATAAAATCTGTAACCTTACTCCCTGGGGTTTTCATTACATTCATGCTGCCTTAGTTATCATGCACATCAGTCTTTTCCCGAAGAATCATTCGCAACTTTGGTGTTAACTTAGAAAAGAAACCAATGTCCTCAGAGTAGTCTTTCTTAAATGCATGCCCTGTCTGCCTCTCTGTTCCCTACAATCCTTCCACAGTGGCCCATTGCCTGCAGGGTAAATCAGATGCATGGGTGGGTCTTGAGGGTTTCCCTGCTCTGCCCACTATACCTTTCTACCTGGCCTCCCACCACACACGCTCACTGTAGCACACCACTCCCAGTCCCCAGGTGTGCCGTGCTCTTCTGACTTCTGATGCTTTTTCCCAGCCTCCTCTAACAAGTCTTTCTTGACACTCAGCCCACATTACAGGCAGATATAAAGACTACGGTCTCCCCCTTCTGTGCTCTCATGTTACTTCCTCATCATACCTTATTGTAAGTATTTGTTGGCACATCCATCTACCCCATTATACTGTTGGCTCCAGGAGAGCAAGAAACTGGCCCTATTCACCTTCGTAGTTAGCACCTGGCCCATAAAAAGCACTGACTTGTTCCTTAAATGAATGAATCATGTCGTAAATGTCCTTGAACACATAGCAACTTTCAACAAAGAAATGAAAAGAAAATGAGGGAAAAGGGAGCTTTGGCCAAAGAATATTCTCATTAGTAAAAATAGTAATATATATGTGTGGCTTTCATTGTTTTTTTAATCCTTGTTGTATTCTTTGCTAGGTATGGAGATTGCTATGTGTGGAATAAAGTCACCACGTGCATACACAACATTCTCAGTGGGAGGAGGTGGATAGAGCATTATGGAGAAGTGACCATCAGAAATACCAAAAGCAGCGTTTGCATTTGCAAACTCACATTTGTCAAGGTAAATAATGACTTTAACAGTAAAGAAAAAATCACATGATATTCTTCCTTTAAGGAGGAAATAAACCAATTACCTTCAACAGCCTCAAGTCTGTCCCGTATCATTGATACTTAAGAACATTTCAGGTAGGAAAGCAGAACCAAAACCAACTGACGGCATTCCTCAAGGCGTGCAGACTTCTGAGTGTGTGGAGGCCCAAAAAGGCACCATCTAAAACAGGGGAAAAAAAATTCTTCTTAAAGAATTTCTTTCTTAGCAACCCATCAGCAGTTCATTCAGTAAAATTCCAGAAAACACTTCTTGCCTTTAATAAGTCTTCTGGTTTCTATTTCTATTCCTATTTTTGCCTATAACAAGTTCTCTGGCTTATATTCCTATTTTTATTCCTGCTTGATTACAACATGTTCAAGTGATCTATTTTAGGGACCTAATTATACTGCAGTTGTCTTTTTCTGAGAATGCATATAAATGATAGCTTCCAGTCACTATAAGCTTACCCAACTCTGCCACAATTATAATACAGATAAGTTCATGAAAAAACATTACCTTTACTAACAAGAGAAGATGTCTGGGCCCTAACTGGTTTGGCTCAGTAGATAGACAGAAGGGTCCTGGGTTCAACCCTGGTCAAGGGCATGTACCTCAGTTGCAGGCTTGATCCCAGGCCCTGGTCAGGGCGTGCACAGGCGGCAACCAATCGATATGTTTCTCTCACATTGATGTTTCTCTCTCCCTGTCTCTCTACCTCCCTTCCACTCTCTCTAAAAATCAGTGGGAAAGCCCTAACTGGTTTGGCTCAGTGGATAGAGCGTCAGCCTGTGGACTCAAGGGTCCCGGGTTTGATTCCAGTCAAGGGCATGTACCCAGTAGGGAGTGTGCAGGAAGCAGCTGATCGATGTTTCTCATCGATGTTTCTAACTCTCTATCCCTCTCCCTTCCTCTCTGTAAAAAAATCAATAAAATATATTTTTTTTAAAAATCAGTGGGAAAATATCCTCCAGTCCAGCCAGTGTTACTCAGTGGTTGAGCATCGACCTATGAACCAGGAGATCACAGTTTGATTCCCAGTCAGGGCACATGCCCAAGCTGTGGGCTCAATTCCCAGTACGGGGTATGCAGGAGGCAGCCGATCAATGTTTCTCTCTCTCATCATTGATGTTTCTATCTCTCTCTTCCTCTCCCTTCCTCTCTAAAACCCATAAAAATATTTTTTTAAAGAAAAATATCCTCAAGTGAGGATTAACAAACGAAAAAGGATGTCTGGGTTGGAGGTTCCTACAGAGCACCATTTTCCCTGGCCTCTGCTCAGACGTGGAACATGGGGTCATCACTGTGCTGTTTAGGGGTGCTACCGAGTCCATCAGGGTCCAGAAACTCCACCCACCCTCTTCATCTCGTCTAGTTCCAATCTCATTCTAGACACAGGTAACATAATTGGAGCCTTAATACTCAAAAATTTCTCTTCTGGCCGTGTTCATTTTAATGGAATACATTTATTTTAGTTTAACATGTTTTTCTTTTCCCCCCTCTTTTTAAATAGGTTTATTAGGTGGCTCAGAACTGAAGAGCCAGGATGGTTATTTGCTCTGAATGAGTGATGACAGTAAATGTATGCATTCAGTTTGGTAGGCTATGAGAAACTTTGGTTTTAGATCTGCCCTGATATATGCAAAGCTCAGGGCAAGAATCCAAATGAAATCCCTATGCCATATGAGTAAATATTTGAAATATGTAAATCAAACCTACAACCTGTCAAATAAAACATCTTCTATTTTTTTATCCTGACAAATATATACCTTTCACAGCAAAGCCTGCCAGGCCAGGTCCGATGCTTTGGAACTCGAGCTAGAGGCCTGGCAGTACAGAGAACCAGTCCTGGCCCAGGCTCCTCCCCACTTGCCCCCACCAGCAGCTCCGTCCTGCACTGCAGGCCTCACGCACACATAGGTGATCCAGCCCCACATCTTCGCTCTGTCCCCACCCCCTCAAACAGCCACCTCAGGCCTACAGATTCGCACACTGGAGGTTGGTCTGCCCTTCTGTGGGTGACTCCCAAGCAAAGGCTTGTGCAGGCTGTGGATAGGCTTGGAGCCAGGTGGTCAGCAAAGTGTGGGGTTCTCCATACTTGGGGCCTGATCTAGAGCGAAAGCCATGGGATCTGGCGGGGTAAATCCCACTGACTTCACACCTTTTGGGGAGGAGCTTGGCTGGAAGAAAGCCAGAGCAGGGTCCTTATGGTAAAATGTAGCCATTTATAGAGACGTGAAAAATATTCCACAAACTACTTCCATAGCATTACCGGTTGAAAATCATTCAAATCCATGAGCAAAAGGACGATTCAAGACAGGAGGACGTGAGGGAGAAATTACGAGCCTATAAATTAGTGTGTGGGTGAGAGAGAAGTTGAGCCTCTCTGGGTCACGCTGCCGAGCTATAGCGTGGAGTGGAGACTTAGCAATGAAGAAAGCCACCCTCCCTTACAACACATCTGGAGCTGGAGTTCTGGGAGTGGTCTGAATAAGACACTTCAAGGTTAAGAAAATCTCCCGCGTGGGAATTACGGGGATTGGTGGTGTTGAGGAAATCCCGTGTTTTCATTGGGTTTGGTTTTTCCAGGTGAATTACTGGAATTCTAATGTGAATGAAGTCCAGGGGGTTGTGATGGACCAGGAGGGGAAGGTGGTGCACCGGCTGTTTGGGAAATGGCACGAGGGGCTCTACTGCGGCGTGGCCCCGTCTGCGAAGTGCGTCTGGAGACCAGGTGAGACCGCAGGAGTGTCCAGCCTCAGGAGGCCCCCGAGAGAAGTGACAGAGGGAGGGAAAGTCCATCATTCCATGGGGTCCACCTTATGTTTTCTTTAATAATGAGGTTAAAAACCTAGATGCTACGGCAAATGTAGTTCTATTTATATTTAACATGTAAATCATATAAGTCCCAATATTTGATAATGAGTTATAAAATTTAGGCACATCTGACAAGTGGGCTTCCCGGGTGTAAAATCACACTAAATGCCTCCATTTCAAATGCTAAGTATGTTTAGTCAAGAGTTTAGTTAAATGAAATACACAAACTCAAATCCTTATTCCTAGTATTTATTCTGTTTTCATAAAGCAAAGGATAGCCTGTAAACGTCTATAATTCACAAATTTAATAACTTACTAGAATAAGTGATCTTTTTACTTGAGCTGCAAAAAGCTGCAATATGTTGACATTTAATGAAACACATCAAGTTCTGATAATACACTAGCACGTCATTGAATATCAAGTATAAATGGAACAAGTCCCATCTGACAAACATTTTCGTCGCAATGTTGTCAGTTAAGCCCTAACTTTAATGTTAGTTGTTAGTTTCCTAAGTGACCTCCATGCGTACATCAATTTCCTGCGTGTGGAGTGGCCAGTTCGTTCTGCAGTGATTTATTGAGTACTGACTGTGCATCAGGCTTTGCTCCGGACGCGTGGAATCCATCAACGAGCAACACATACAAAGATTCTACCTTTGAGTTTAGTTTCAAAGTGTCAATAAATATTAATTTAGATGTGCATTTTTTTCTTTTCTAAAAGGAAGTAAAGTGTTTCTGGTGAAATCTCAATGTTCATAGCTAATCATCCTGGCATTTAGTTACCTAGCTGAATATTTGAGAGAAAAATTATGGTGTAGTTTAGCCAGTGAAGACTACTATATATGTGCAAAGTTTTAGTTTAAAGGCTAGAGTCTATTAAGTATATGAACCTATCAGTTCTGATCATCAACGTAAAGTTTCCCATCTGACAAAATATAACCTGAAAAAATTTATCATCTACTATTTATGACTACAAATGTGCTAATGGTCTGGGTATTAGTTAAACACCAGGATTAAGTGCTTCTGCAAGTGTCTTGAACCTCTTTGCCTCTCACAATGGTTCATTGGCCTCATTCCAGGTTCCTTGCCAACCAACTATGAGCTCTACTATGGCTTCACAAGGTTTGCTATTGAGCTCAACGAGTTAGATCCTGTCCTGAAAGACCTCCTCCCACCGACAGATGCCCGATTCCGGCCAGATCAGAGGTGAGCGTAGCGGTGGCATTTAAAATGGACACTAGATCATGGCAGGTGCTACACGTGTCATCGAGACTTACTTGCACCACCATCACTTATTTCTTTATTGAATCGTCTGTCCATTCCCTTATTTACTCAGAAATGGTTGAGTTTCCCACCCTGGGTAAAACAGCCTTCATAGGGTGGTCAGAAGATTAGCTCAACAAAAGTTTCCCCTCTCACCCCCAAATTTACTGCAAAGTCATGAATTTTTTCTCTCCACTAAATACAGAATCACTCCTCACCCAATGTTTGTACCTTTTCACTTCTATTGCTCTGAAGCAAGGAGTATCTTTTATACTGAAGAATGAGATAATAAGTTACAGAGACACCTACAAATGCTTTTAGTCAAAGTCTGGAGTTTGCCCAATATGGTTTGGATCTCACAGGGTGTGAGATGTACTCAAAACACAGTACCTTTAATACCTTCTGATTCATATGTTTTATTATTTATACACTAGAGGCCCAGTGCATGAAATTTGTGCATGGGGAGGGGGGTCCCTCAGCCCGGCCTGCACCCTCTCCAATCCGGGACCCCTCGGGGGATGTCTGACGGCTGGGATTGGGCCTAAACTGGCTTTCAGACATCCCTCTCGCAATCCGGGACCACTGGCTCCTAACCACTCACCTGCCTGCCTGCCTGATCACCCCTAACCACTCTGCCTACTTGCCTGATCACCCCTAAGCACTCTGCCTACTTGCCTGATCACCCGTAACCACTCTCCTGCCTGCCTATGGCCCTAACTGCTCCCCTGCCTGCCTGATCACCCCTAATCGCCTCTGCCTGCCTGCCTGATCGCCCCTGACCACCTCTGCTTGCCTGCCTGATCATTCCTAACTGCTCTCCCCTGCTGGCCTGATCCCCCTAACTGCTCTCCCCTGCTGGCCTGATCCCCTAACTGCTCTCCCCTGCTGGCCTGATTGCGCCTGATTGCCCCTGATTGCCTCTGCCTCGGCCCCACCACTGTGGCTTTGTCCAGAAGGACATCCAGAAGACGTCCAGTCTAATTAGCATATTACCCTTTTATTAGTATAGATAGTTCTGTACTCGTGTTGCCCGTTCTTACAGAATTAATTTTACTTTTTTCCAAAACCTTTTCATACAAATTTGACCCAAGATTGTTTTCTATTTTCACTGTATTTGTGGTCTTACTTGTCTTCTGCCAAAATGTTCCCAGTATTGAAATGTTTTGCTACTCAATTCTCTTGTATTCCTCCTCCCGCCCCAGAGCACACAGCCTCACTGTTTGACATTCACATATACGCATCTTCTATGATGTGTATCACACTGTGTCCCTGGTCTTTTCTCTCATTTTGGAATTTAAATATTTGCAAATCACCATGGGCTCTGCTTTTTCTTTATCAGTTCTATTTCCATATTTCCTTTCTGAATTTCACTTACAATGCATTTCCTTTCTGTGGCCTTTTGTAATTTTCCCCAACTGTTCCCTTTTCTTTTTTCATCAGTTTTACTCTCTCCCATAAAACAGGAAAAACTCCTTCCTTCTCAATCTGTTCTAAAAGTAGATGGAGAACAGCCAGTTTCCACCCGCCATCCTGTGGCCTTTAACAAGTGCTTTTTGATAATATGGAAACCGAGCACCCCTGGGACTCCACACTGTTCTAACTCGTGGAGACCTCACGCCTTAGAACCCTAGACAGCACAGAGAAGTCTTCACGCCCGAACCGTTCCCCTCTCACTCCTCCCCGTGTGCTGCCCATGCTAATTCCATCCACACACACAGGAAGTGTGCTCACTGATGGCAGGCAGGGGCGGTGTGGGCTGGAGCAGGGCGAAGGGATGCTCTGTCCCAGTGTCACTGTTCACAGGAACCAGAATGTAATTTCATGCAAATGAGATCATTTTTTATCAGAAGAGAGGATGATATATTAAAGGATGAACTCTCTCTGCTTAGATTTTTGGAAGAAGGAAATCTGGAAGCTGCAGCAGCCGAGAAGCAAAGGGTGGAGGAACTGCAGAGATCGCGAAGGCGCTACATGGAAGAAAACAACCTTGAACATATACCAAAATTCTTTAAGTAAGTCAGTTCCTGCGCCTAACAAGTTCGTGTTGTGCAAATGGTTTCCACAAGCAATGGAAAACTCCAGCTGAAGAGACAACGAAGGATAGTTTAATGTCCAGGGAACCGAAAGGTGGAAAAATTAAACCGATTTTAGTAAATGGCCTTGGCAGAGAAAATACTGGATCAGGATCAGATTTTGCACTTGGGAAAACCTTTTGTAAGCATATAAGTAATTTGTTTGCCCAGCCAGTGTGGCTCAGCAGCTGAACATCGACCCAGGAACCAAGAGGTCACTGGTTCGATTCCCTGTTGGGGCGCATGCCCAGGTTGTGGGCCCAGCCAGTGTGGGGTGTGCAGGAGGCAGCCAATCAGTGATTCTCTCTCCGAAAGTAATTTTTTCTCCACAGCTCTTTTCTTTTCATGAGCAGCCAAAAGGAGTGAGGGTCTCCCCCAGCCCAGAGCGTTCTTGTCTTTCAGCTCCAGCCTTTCAGATGGTGGAAACTTGTTCCCACTCCCTCACGCAGAGACAGGATGGGACCCCTCTGCCCACAGGTCATCCTGGCTGCATATATCTTTCATTTTATCTCGGGCACGGGGGGCTTATGTCCATTCAGATTGGGTCCCTCTGTGGCGTGATGGTGGGTGATTATTACAGGATTATTTGCAGGACTATGTCTACATCACAGAGTAAACTGTAGTTTCCAGGCCCATCTGCTGCCCTCTGGAGCCAGGGCAGATCATCTCCCTTAGAGCAGCTGCTCCTGGCTGCCCTGGGGAGGAACGCAGCCTCGCCCTTAGGTGTCAGGCCCTGCAGAGAGCTTAGCTGCTGAGGCTGGTGCTTTCCCGTGAGTGAGGCACAGACTGTCTTGTGGGTCTGAGGCCTGAAGCTCTTAGTTACCTATTGTACATACTTTGCTTGCGGCACTTCACTTTCTAGCTCTGCCTGGAGGGGATTTTTTTCTGCCCTCAGCCCCGCTCCCAATGACCCTACCCACCTCCATTTCAAATGTTTAACAACAGAAATAATTCATTTCCGGTCCAAAATAGTCAAGTCATGCGGCAGCAGATAGGACACTAACTGGCTTACCGAGAACTGCGAATGGTTGCCAAGGCCTGCTTATGCGTCTTATCTGCAGGGCAGGGGCCGACAATCTGGTCCCCTGGGTGTGCCTTGTGTCTAATGTTGATTTTTCTGTTTTCACAGGAAAGTGATTGATGCCAATCAAAGAGAAGCCTGGGTTTCTAACGACACCTACTGGGAGCTGCGAAAGGACCCTGGGTTTAGCAAAGTAGACAGCCCTGTTCTCTGGTAACCTGGGCATGTAGAGCTAGCCAACATATCACGCTCTGAATGAATTACTAACTATGCACAATTATGTTTCTTAGAGCTCCGCGTGGTTTCTGGGTCGACCGAACGCCGGCCATTTGCTTTTCTATTCATCTTTATAACGGACTTTCAGAAGTGCATTAGACAAGGCCCCTAACCACGTTTGGATCCTTTCTGTTTTGCTGCAACCATATTCCTTAAAAAATAAAATTAAAAAAAAAAAATCCACACCCTCCTCGGAAAGAAGAATTAAAGGAGCAGAATGTAAAAATCCAAAGTCTGATGAGTTTATAAAGACAAACACACTGTAACCGGTGCTTTACACCGATCCGGAGAGTTTAAAGCTACGTGACATAAACCACGCGTTTGGAAGCGCCATCCCCTCATCAGCGGAGCTCCTGGGCTCAGACTGGAGTGTGTCGTCTGAAGTGGTGTACCCGTGCTGGCCTTGTCCATGCAGACGTGATGCTTCTCAGAACCTGTCCCATCTGTACGCCATTGTTCATGCCTTAAGAAATGCAAAGATGTACAATAAATCATTTTTTTAACGTGTGCTCATAGGTTTATGTGGAGGACAGACCTTTTGAATCATGGCATGATTCACTTTCTGGGACCAGAACAATTATGAGTGTAACTTCAGTGGATGAAAAGAAAGTAAACAACATGTGCTTTACTTTGATGTGTCGGTTACTGTATCGTATGTCTGCAGGGCAAGAAGGAAACGGTGTGCCAGGTCGATTTCTGTAGTCACATTGCTTGTCAAGCTCCTGTCCTGCGTCCAGATAATAAACCATCCCCCTTGTACCTAACCTCACAGTGTGCCCTGTTTTGGCAATATCTGTGTTTGATTTGAACACTTGGCATCCGTGTTAAAGCCGTGGAAAGAAATAACAATAAGCAGATGGCATTTCTGGTTGGGCTTAGGAGCACTGTAAGTGTTGAGTGAAGCACAATGTAATAATACGCATTACTATCCTAAGCCCAGCCCAGTGGCACCAGTGGAAATCCCACTGGGAACAGAAGCAAGAATGCTAGTAGCTTATTTGCATTGTTTAAATGAGTTCTATGCAAATTATATTTTATATTTTCATTAAGTGAGTCTGTATGATACATGGCTATATATTAAGCATTTCCCTTGCTATTGGCAGAGATATAAAACTTAAGCTAAGGAGTTTAAGGGAGAGGGACAGAAATGTGTTTTGCATACTTCAGTATTTGTTCTTCCCTCCAGTATACAAAGGGTTTTGTAGGAAACTTGCATCCATATTCCTGAGTTTCTGCACGTAGATGACTATATAAATGCTTGTATGTTTTTTTAAAAAGTCTCCCTAGAGATTAGTTATAAAATGACATATATTTAATTCCTAGTTAGGTTTTTTATTCTAGATTCTGACCATGAGGTTTTAAGTGTTATTTTAAACTCTGGTAACGAGGTTACTGGCATTTTGCATTTTGTTAAAAGGTGTTGATTTTAGTATTATTTCTCAGCAAAGCTTTCCTAATAACAGCTAATCCACTATCAAATCTGAACTGCTTATGAGAGCATAAGGCAAGCTCTGAAGTTTCTAGGTGGCGCAAAATGTAAAACATCCCTCCTCTGATCTGGGCCCTGCACTGTGCCTACAGTACGCATTGCTCTAGAATGAAACTTCACTCTCGGGTAAATCCCACTGCCAGGTCTAAGTGTTCCACTTAAGCCACGCCCTCCCTAGGTTTCTCAATGCTGTCGAGTCCCATTTTAAATCTATGGGTGGCTTGCTTGGTGGTAGTAAAATGTCCCCTTGTTATCGATTGCTTTTCTTGACCCCCTTTTATCTGCATCCTGAGGTACATGCCTATAATTTTCATTAGAATTTAATCAGAATTCTATAACTTCCTCATAAAGTCTGCTGTCCCCCGTTGGTAAAGCTTTAAATACCATCTGAATTGATTCCGGTCTGTGCTTACTAGCGTTTCCATGAACCGTCTCAAACTGTTTCACCTAAAGTTAAGGACAGAATTTTACCAAGTAGAGGTGTTCCAAGTAGGTAAGTCAGAAGGTGGGGGTATAAAGATACATTGAGTCCTCCTCTCCCCATCAGTTACCAAGGGATTGATCAGCCAGACAGCTGGGAGAGGACCCAGCACCCTCAGGGAAGCAACTACTGTTTGGGTTGTAATTGAGAAAAAGAATAACTAGTAGGGAAGACCTGTACTAGTCAGTAAGTTCCAGCCACAAATCAGGTAAGCGAGTGTTGGTCAGAGCTCACCTGAAACTCTGATGAGAATTTTAAGCTGAGAATAAGAAGAATGTCAAGATAATTAAAATCATATTTTATAATATCCCCGATTTAGAATCTCTTGAGAGTCAGGCTTCTTGATTAGACTTCCAATACAAGTGGTCCATTGAAGTTTAGGTAATACTCCTGTAATACCAGCTTCACAAACCTCCCCCTCAAATACTCAGAATGGAATGGCTTTATCCCCCACTTCATTTTTCCTTCTGATGGATAGAGTGGCTTATGGAATTGGGAGACAGTCTAGTTGGAATTTTCAGCTGCAAAAATTGGGGGCTTTTGAGACTAAGCAGAAAAAGGATAGACTAAGTATTAGATGAAACCTGATTTATTTTTTAGAATTTTACATAAGTCTTTTTATGTCCAGGGTACTTATTTGTTTCTCCCTAAAGCAATAGAGGATAGAGGAGGACTCAGTATGCCTTTACGCCTCCCTGTGAGGTATTCATCCGCTCCTTCATGTCTGAGCTGGTCATTAAGGAAAGCAGGACGGCCCCATGGACCTGACTGGACTGCACAGAGCAGCGGCACACACCAGCACAGACAGACACTAATTATTGTGCTCCTGTATGCTGCCACCGGGGTACAATTTACCCTCAGAGTTTGCTGTCATTTTATTGTTTTTTTAAGTCATTGTATTCTATGGGTTACTCTAAAATCCCCCCATCAATGTGTCTCTCGCATCGCTGTTTCTCTCTCTCTGTCTCTCCCCCTCCTTTCCACTCTCTCTAACAAAATCAATGGAAAAATATCCTCGGGTGAGGATTAACAAAAAAATTTAGAAATGAAAAATAAATGAAATAAAATACTCCATACTTTCCAGGCAATTGCAAATAAACCTCACGTGAGATACCTTTTAATATTACATATCAATTTTATGTAACAAATTATATCAATTATATGTGACCAAAAAAAAACAAAAAACCTACCAAATGTATTTTCTGGGTAAGATAAACCAATGGGATTTGTTTCAATACGAGAGATGCCAAGTTGTCATTTTCCAAACCTTTGCTCTTCATTATTCTGACCCCGTGCCTTCCAGACACTCATTAGATCCCGCCCTAAGGAGCACTGGGGGGCAGGGGCAACGGGGAAACTGATCAAACTTCTTTTGCTTAGTTCTGGTTACGCTGTGGCTGGAGAAGTGTTTATCGTCAACATCGAATGTGCATTTTTGTTATTACCTTATGGACTTTAATTACCCATCTTGTCTCATCTTGTTATCTGTCATCCTAGATAATGAAGTGTCAATGGGAGCAGAGCTCCGCACACACCAGAGGGTGTGAACATGTTTGCACTCAGCTCAAGTGGTCCATGAGGGATGTGGCACAGTGAATACAGCGTTTGTGTACGAAATCTTGGTTTATTTCGTACACATAATGGCAGCCATTATGTCGGGATGTATAAAATGTATCGAATTAAACAATTACGAATCTATTTTGTGCTCTGGGAATGTTCTTTGGGGGAAAAAGATGGAAAAAATGTCATGGGAGCTAAGACTAAAGTGCTTTCCTCTGGATTTCTTTTGGTGTTTATTTCAAAAGGCTTCCCATTCATTTAGAATAATCAAACCAGGATTAGATCCTGTAAATTTTAATTTAATTTCTTTTGTAAAATTGATACATTTAAACTGTACATTGTATTAATCTCTGTGTTAAGCCTGACTTTAATACGCAATTGTACTAATATACCTTTGTGACGGAATTTTAAGGCCGTGTCTCAGCCTTTCCTATTACAGAAAACGGCAAATTGTTTAAGAAAGAGTTAGTTTTAATTTTTCCAAAGTGAGGTCTGAAGAAGAATTAATTCTTTAAAAATTGTTGTGATAACCAGAATGCCCAACATCTTAAGCCAATGAAGCCCATGATTAAGGCAGCTTACAGGTGGCAGTTACCTGTGAGTCAAACGCATCCTTTTGTTTTCCAAACAACTATGAATTGGTGGATTTTCTCCTTTCTTCTGGTCCTAACTTAGTGAGGGGCAGGGACACATAGGCCCATTCTCTGCACTGTGCCATTGCGTGATTGTAACGTTCAGCTACTGTGTCCAGTGTCAGGGTGAAATATCAGTATCAGAACCACTGCATGTAGCCTCCTGTGGGACACTGTTAAATGCTCATGGATTGAAAATTACTCCGTAATTACATGTTATTAATGTCCTCAGTATCTCCAGATGGGTAGGAAAAGACATAAAACAAGAATGTCCATTTTCTGCAAAATCTCTATTTCCTATCATGCTTTCCTTCTACATACAATACATTAGGGCAATTACAGCAGGAAGAATATGGAGTTTTCAGAAAACAGACATAATGCTATTTGCGTTACGTCTGTTTCTTTAGTTAATAGAGCAAGCAGCAACTTAAAACTGTGAAAGAGAGAATAATGGCAAAATTGCTACTTTTTTCATCTTAGGCACCAACTCCCCTTAATTATCCTCACTCAGTTATTTCTTTGGGAAATAATGTAGTTGCTAGAAACCTTTTAAGTCAGTTCAGGCTTATTTTCAAAGCTTTATTGAGGTGTGACTAACATACAGGAAGCTTTACGTATCTGAGCTATACAATTTGATAGTATGAGACACTGTCACCATAATCACAACAGTGAACTATCATCACCGGCAAACACTCCCCCCTCTATCCTCTCTCCTGCCCCTCTCCAATCTCCAGCCCAGGCCATCACGGACCTGCTTTTTTCACTTATTAAAATCTGCATTTTTTTTTTTTGTATTTACTGCATACGGGTTTTTTTCTAGAAGGTGTGAGCATGTGGGTAGATGTATGCCTCCAAATTCCTCCCTGCCACGACCCCGATACCCACCATCACATGGGAACACGTTACAAGAGAAAGAGGATGTTAAGTTCTAGTTCTGAGAGCCCGCTGACTACTTTAGGTTTGAAATACTCAGGAAACAATGACCATTTTCACCTCGAAATGGCCACGTAAGTTAAGGAATTCACTCCCGTCTGTCCGAGGCCCAACAGGAGGGTGGGACTGACTGACCCACTGGCAGCACTGAAGGAGCCTGGGAAGTGTTCTCCTCTTGTTTGTGATGAACCAGAATGACTGCCTGGGAAACGATGTCATTTTGTGACGCTGATGAGGGGAGTAGTCTGTACTGAGTTATTTCTTATTTGCCTCCCAAGCCCCCCTTTTGTGTCACAAACACCTGAAAGTTCCGGTGCTCAGAAGGCTGCTGCCCCGTCTCTGCCCGGCCCTCACTTCCTACCTGGAAACAGAGCTCCTACCCCCAGTTTGGAAAAGAAGCTGAAAAGCCTGTTCCTCCAAAGTAGAAAACTGCCCCGGGACTGTCACATCCAGCATGACTGCCCCCGAGTGCTGATGGAGAGGAAAGGCAGGAGTGAGGGAAAGCGGCATGAACCACAGGGAAGGAAGTAGCTCCTCTACGCGGGGCCAGCAGAGGCTCCTAGGCGGAGCCGATGGAGCCCGGGGGGCCAGGTTATGGTCTTTGAAGTTTGTTCCCAGGCAGGTTGATCCCTCAGCCTCCCTCCACCGATTCTGAGTCCTTAGATCTGGGTTGTGGGCCAAGAAGCTGCATTTTAATAAGCCCTGGCCCCCCAGACAATTTGAATGAACACTGGCCTAACCACCCACTCGCACCCTCCTCCCTGCTCCAACTTCAGTCTCCTTCTTTTATATATTTTTAAATATATTTGTATTGATTTCAGAGAGGAAGGGAGAGGGAGAGACAGAAACATCAGTGATGAGAATCATTCGTGGGCTGCCTCCCGCACGCCGCCTACTGGGGATGGAGCGCAACCCAGCACGTGCCCTGACTGTGACCTCCTGGTTCATAGGTCGATGCTCAACCACTGAGCCACACCGGCTGGGCTAACCTCAGTCTTTTGTTTGTTTTTTCTCATAGTGACATCCAGTCCTGGGAAGGAAAGTCTAGTTCAAGAAAACCAGAGCTCAGGGACTTTGCCCTGTGTGGCTTCCCGTCACTTGTTGACTTCTGTCCGGATGCCAGTGCTGTAGATGGAGGGAAGAGTAGGAGGGCAGAACTTTCAAACCTCAATATGAGATTGTGTTGAGCCAGAGACTGTAGACGTGTGTTCCTGGAGGCACCCTAACCAGCCCAGATAACTGCAGTGTACGCTTCAAAGCCAGGGTCAACCTCCCCTGCCCCGCCTTCCAGCCCCTCTGACACCCGGTCTGTGACTCTGAGAAGATCTCTCAATTGAGCGGTTGGGGTCCTGGCTGGGGGTCGCAGGCAGGGAACTTCCAGACAAAGTGCGCTCCTGATCACCTGGCTGGCGATTTCATAACAAGCTGTAGCAGCAACTTCTATGTGCAGGTCAGTTTCTTCCCTGAAAAAACATATTTTTAAATTTTCTATTTGAAAAACTTCCACTGTGAAATTGCTCTGCTTATAATGGAAGGTATAAAGGTGAAGGCAGTAGTCATGCACTGTTTGTTTGCATATGGTCATTTTGAGATAGGAAAATTCAATTTTACCTTATATTACGAACAGAATTTCAAGCAACTTTCTACAGAAAAATAGCTTGGAATTTCCTTCTAATAAAAGAGAAATTATTCGCAGAAAAGGATTGTGTAAATGTGCCACCTCAAAATAAGAATTGTGCCTCTTCGGTGAGTGTTGTGTACAAGAATGTTAAATTTGTAAGAGCACAGAACACTCAATAAATTTTAAATAAACTATATAAAGGTTTTGTTTTTGGTGTATAATGTGTCCTAATGACCTGTCCACAAAATTAATATTTTTATCTCTAGCAAGAGACTTCCAATAGGATATAAAGGAGAGTGAGTGCTTATTCTGACTACATTTCCAGCTCTCTTTTGTGTAATAATGATGTAGAAACTTTTCAAATCAAGTACCAGAACCCAGGACGTTTTCCTGAATTTTGAACTTATTTATAGTAAAAGACTTAGAAAGTTGGCTTCAGTTTTCCATTTGTTTAAATTGTTTGAGTAAAGCTGTAGTTCATAAAGACAGCAGGAAACTCAATATTTTTCAAGAGATATTTGCTGTCTGTCACTGGTGATGGCAGTTCCAATAAAATAGTGATAATGTAGCCTGCTTTCCGTCTTCATGGGCGTTGTAAGTGGCCAATGTATCAGCCTTGGCCTCTAAGTCTCTAAAATATATATGCCTAAGCGACCATTAAGACTGAACGACCGGAACGACCAGTCAACCAGTCGCTATGAGGTGCACTGACCACCAGGGGGCAGACACTCAATGCAGGAGCTGCCCCTGGTGGTCAATGTGCTCCCACAGCCATCCTCCTGCAGCCTCTCCCCCTGGCTGGCCAACCTCCCACAACCCCTTCTCCTCCCCCCACCCCTCTGCCCTGCCAACCTCCTGCATCCCCTGCCTCCCCCATTGGCCAACCTCCCATGGCTCCTCCCCCCAGCCAGCCGGCCCCCACATCGGCCCTGATTGGGGAGCCAACCAACCTCCTGGGGTCCCACCCCCCGCTGACTAGCCCCCCAATAAGCCTAGATCACCAGCCAGGCCGAGGGACCCCACCCATGCATGAATTCGTGCACCGGGCCTCTAGTTTCTTATAAAGAAGTGGAGGAAGACATGTTTTGAGAGGCAGTTTCAAAGAAAGCAATATGCCAAACTTTGATTCATCAGAATACCAAAATGTTAAAAAAAAGTCAAGACTGGTTCTCAGCCATCCCTTTAAATGCCACTGCTGTGTCATCATCACAGGTCTGCACCAGCCTTTACGTTTCGTTCATTTGCTCCTGAGTGGTACCTGGGTATGCGGGCACCTACCAGGCACAGCCTCTGCCCGGACTTGCTTAGCAAGATGATGGCAGGGCAGGAGGGTCTCAGTGTGGCTTTTCCGATCAGCAATGTTCACATTTAAGTACCAGGCTGGGAGTTCAAGGTCATTTTCTAAATTCCTCCCAATTTTGCCAAACACAGTAATAGTTAATGGAACATTCCAAACTTTTTTATTTTGTTCAGCGAAAAAGATGTTTTTCCACAGTTCAGTTGAACTGGTGAAAATGCCTAAAGCTAGTATTGTATTAGAACCAAAAAAATTAAAAATTAAATTACCATATGACTCAGCAATTTCACCTCTGGATATATGCCTGTATACGTTTGCTAGGGCCGCCGTAACAATATACCACAGGCCAGCGGTTCTCAACCCTTCGGGGGGTCGAACGACCCTTTCACAGAGGTCGCCTAAGACTCATCGGAAAACACATATATAATTACATATTGTTTTTGTGATGAATCATTATGCTTTAATTACGTTCAATTTGTAACAATGAAATTGGGGGTCACCACAACATGAGGAACTGTATTAAAGGGTCGCGGCGTTAGGAAGGTTGAGAACCACTGCCACAGACTATGTCTGAAACAACAGAAAGTTATTTCCTCATAGGTCATGCCAGGAGGCCAGCATCGAGGCGTCGGTGGGCTCGGTTTATTCTGCGGCCTCTCTCCTTGGCTTGCAGATGGTCACCCTCTAACTGCCTCTTCACCTGGTTGTGGCTGTGTGTGCTCTGTGCCTGCATGTAC